ACTTTTCCGCCTGGGTGAAGCCCATGAGCTTATCGAGATTTATTAAAGATATTTAATTTATTTGTGTAGATTGATTCGGGAAAATTGTTAACTTCTTCAAATTTAAGTAATTTTCGTTAAATATTCTTGTGAATTTTATACATATTTGTAAATATATAATTATTAAGGGAAGCATGATTATTCCCCAAATGTCATTTTTCTGAAATGCCATTTTACCGAACTGCACTTTTGCGAATAGTCATTTTTGCGAAAAGCCAATTTTGCGAAATGTCACTTTTGCGAATTGTCATTTTTGCGAAAAGATATTTTTGCGAATTGTCATTTTTGCGAATGGTTATTTTTACGAATTGTCAATTTTCCGAAAAGTCATTTTTGCGAATCGCCATTTTTACGAATTGTCAATTTTTCGAAAAATCATTTTTGCGAATTGGCATTTTTACGAAAAGACATTTTTGTGAAATGTCATTTTTGCGAAAAGCCATTTTTGCGAAAAGTCATTTTTACGAAAAGCTATTTTTGCGAATTGTCATTTTTGCGAATCACCATTTTTACGAATTGTCAATTTTCCAAAAGCCATTTTTGCGAATCGCCATTTTTACGAATTGTCAATTTTTCAAAAAGTTATTTTTGCGAATTGTCATTTTTGCGAAAATTCCTATAGTGAATCTATATATGCATACAAGTTTACTATAGGAATTTTCGCAAAAATGACTTCGAAAAATTGACAATTCGTAAAAATGGCGATTCGCAAAAATGACTTTATGGAAAATTGACAATTCGTAAAAATAACCATTCGCAAAAATGACAATTCGCAAAAATAGCTTTTCGCAAAATGGACAATTCGCAAAAGTGACATTTCGCAAAATTGGTTTTTCGCAAAAATAACTATTCGCAAAAGTGCAATTCGGTAAAATGACATTTGGGGAATAATCATGCGCCCCTATCAGTCAGGTAGCAGCGAGCGGCTCAAGGCTTGTCACTGCTACCCGACTGGTAGTATCCCTTCCAAGCCTCGCGTTCGTCCCCTTATTTTATGTAGCCCTTCAATTAAAAAAAAAATTTCCAAATAATTGAATTTTCTGAATCACACGGAGAAACTTTTAATACCACTAATTCTTAAAACTGGTGAGACATTTTAGTATGTTAGGTTAGATTCAAGGGAAAAACGACATAGGTTATAGAAATTGCTATTGAGACTATCAAAAACACTCATTCAGTATATATTTTACAGTTCTTCATAAGGAAACTAACGAAAATTAGTATGTTGTTTTAGAAAGAAAATAATAATTTTTGCAAAGTTGGGAAAGCCATGAATTAAAAAGAAACACAACAAATTAATTGTCTATAGATACTCATAGAGACGATAGTGATACTTGGATCTGATGGTAGATGGCATTAGTGAATGTCACTGTAACTGTAGGTAAATATATTTAACACGACGTAAGAACCTAACCTATATTATTAACGCACACACGCACACGCAAGTAAAGACACGACGATTGGTCACGGAAACCGAAAGATCGCACGATTCGTTAGAAGTACACAGCTGAATCGTCCTTATATATTAAACGAGTGGAAAAATATGTGCCTTCGAGAGAGAGCATTTTTTAAAATAACTTACTAATCAAATTATGTAAATAAGTAAAAGTCGTGAAAAAAATTATGTTATATTGAGGAACAGTTCTTGAATTTAATTTGGCATAAGGAGACATTCACGTTTATTAATAAAAGGTTTTTTTCTTTCATACACGTGTGAATTTCAACTTCGAAAACATTAGGGTTAGTTCGCGACGTCAGGTGATGGACTCGGTGATGCTCGGGCGAAATCGGTTAAGTCCGCCCGCAGTCCTTCCAAAATTGGTATGTTACGTTAGAATGTCTGTTATATATTCTATCTATATGTGGAAAAAAGGTTAGAATTACCGTATTATTTCACAAACAAAAACTAGCATTTTATTCTTTTCTAAAGAAAAATAAGACTATTTCTAATGCAGATAGTAATTTTTGTAAACCGAAGGTTGCTTAATATATAACGAACTTATCATATTTTCGTATTAATGTTGAAATTATTAGCACAACGCACGAAAAATCCTCACATTCTAACGTACTTTTAAAATAAACATAACCAAATATATTTAATATTATAAGAAAAAGTTTCTCCGTGCAGTTTTTAGTGAAATTTAAAAGAACAAGTATTATTGAATTATTTCGAAAAATTTAATGAAAATTATATTAAAAATAATCGAATTTTTGGAATGAATTCTATTATTTATGAAAATAATTGAAATCTTATAAACAAATTTAATGTCAATTTTTGAAAATAATTACATTTTTTGAAGAAAAATAATTGAATTCCTGAGAAGAATTTTATTAAAATTTGAAAGAATAATTGAATTATTTCAAAAATTTCATTAAAATTATAAAAAATAATTTAATTCTTGGAATGAATTCTATTATTTATGAAAATAATTGAATTCTTATAAACAAATTTCATAAAAATTGTATTAAGAATAATTGAATTCCAGTGAAAAATTGTATTATTTGTAAAAATAATTAAATTCTTGCGAAAATTTAAGAAAAATTATAAAAATAATTTAATTTTTTGAAAGCATTTTAATGAAATTTAAAAGAATAATTGACATATTTCGAATAATTTAATTAAAATTATATTAAAAATAATTGAATTCCTGGAATGAATTTTATTATTTACGAAAATAATTGTAGTGAAAATTTTAAATGGAATTTTTGCGAAGAATTTTATTAAAATAGTAGATACTATTGTAAATAATTGAATTTCAGCTAGAAATTTAATTATTTGTGAAAATAAAGAAATTGTCATAAAAATTTTTTGAAAATAATTGAATTTAAAAAAAAATGTTATTAAACTTTTTTAGTCTAATTTTTTTGTTTCAATTATTTGCGGATTTAAATAAGTGCAAATTCTCAATAAAAAAAGAAAAAAGTAAAAGATTTAATATTCTTCTCTTACCATACGAATTACGTTAAAAATTCCAGTTACTATTTGCTAAAATTGTTACTAAGTACTAATACATTTAAAAAAAAAAATATTTTTTTTATGTAATGACTTTTTTACAAAAATATCTAATTTTATATAAAATATTAAAATAGACGGAATACAATGAACATGTGCAAAAAATTGAAAATATTTCCCTTTTAAGAAATTTGACAATTTATATATACAATAAATTTATGAATAATTAATAATGAGTTATATATTTATTCGACTTTTCATTATTTTCAATTAACATACGTGTTTGCAAACACTTATTTTAAGTAAACTTATTGACTTAACTGTAAAAAATGGTTTTTTACCTTTAAAAGCAAATAATATTAGAATTGTAAAATAAACTTAAACTATTTTATTATTCTATTTAATTTAATTTCAACATTAAAATTGGCATATTTTATCAAATATGAATTATTTCTCCCCACATAACTGATCGATTTAAAGAATTAATAATAGACTTTACTGATCTATTTTATATTCATCTAATAATATTATTTTTTAATTAATTAATTTTACAAAAAGTTTAATTAAAATTTTTCAAAGACCTAATTTTTTAGAATTTCTACATTAAATTCTTTCAAACTTGAATAATTTATAAAAAAAAATATTTAAAAACTTATTGTTATTTATTTTAATTGAAATTTCAAATAATTTGAATGCAAAACCTTTTGAAATTTAATTATTTCTAAAAATTACAACAAGCAATTTTTCCAAAAGTCAATTATTTTTTAGAAACTTTTAAATAAAATTATTTAAAACTTTAATAATTTTTAAAGCTAAATAAAATATTAATAATTTTTTTAAATCATTCAAATATTATTATATTTTTACGACAACTAAAATGTTAAAAACATTTCAATTTAAATAAACTTTCAAGATTTAATTATTTCTTAAATTTTCTGTTAAAATGCTTTTAATATTCAATAATTTTTTAAAATTTTAACAGAAATCAATTCTTATTAGAATTCAACGATAATAGATTAATTGAAGTACAAACATTTTTGTAAAATTTAATTGTTTTCCAAATTTTTAGTTACAATTCTTGTAAAAAAAAATATTCAAAAATAATTTTTTGAAGTGTGAAAATTAAATTCACAAATTTATATTTGAAATATACCTAAAATTTATTTTAATGAAATTTGAGAAATTTTACCAATTTTTTAATTTTTTAAAATTATTTTCGAGAATTCAACTATTTTAAAAAAATTTTAATTAAGTACAATTTTTTCAAAATGTTTAAAATAAAATTTTTCAATTTTAATAATTTTTAATAAATAGTGAAATTTAACGATCACTCCGAGTCAAGGAATTTAAAATAAAAGAAATTCAATTCTTTTTACGTTTCGGCAGCACAGGTGTCCTCTTCAGAACGAAAAAAATAAAATTAAAATATTAAAATTATAAATTAAGATAGGCACATCTTTGTCGCTATACAATATATGACAATATGACACTCATATTGTAATCGTAGCGGAATTCTCGAAAAGTTATCGCGATTCCACTATGAAACTTTTACGAAAAATTTCTTATTACTTTTGGCTATCACTATAAAAAAAAATTTTTTAAATCGGAGGGGAGGTGTTTTTCAAAAAATGAAAAAAAAATTTTTAATAATTAATGAAAATTTTTTTTTCTAAAAAATTTATTTAAAAAGTACTAGTTATACTGAGAAATTTAAAAAAAAAATTTTGAAAAAATATTGAAAACAACCGGTGTTATCGTAATTTTAAAATATTAGTACATAAATTTTCAATTTGAATATTTTCAAAATTTTCAAAATCGTCTTCACTTTATCATATCTTATCCTTATAGCTACAAGGAAAAAAAGTTTTGATTATAAAAAATTTTGTAATTTGCATAACAATAATAAATTGAATATCACGTTCCGCGCGTAACATTTGCTAGTTTAGACTCATAAACATAATTTTAATACCCAGGGATAGTAAAATTCAATGAAGAAACAAGAGAAAAATTAGGGTTGATTTTTCATTTTATTTGATGTGTTTTACAAGAGGAATCAATTATAATTTTCCAGTAATAAATTATAATGTAAAATATGAGAAAATGGAATTCATTGAAGTACATAAAGAAAACTATTTGAATTTACAACTATTTGGAGTATAACACATTGGCCAAGTATTTCATTTCATTTTTTTTCATATTTTACTTCTCCGTTATTGTTTTTTTTTTTTTTTTTTGAAATAGTATTATAACTGAATTCCAAACTATATATTGATGCTGAGAGGAGAATTTGTTTTCTGTTGAAATTGAGTTAGCTTTTAAGACACCTAAGTTTCTAACATAAAGCAAAAGAAAAAATTAAAGCTTGCTTCAAAATTCACAACCACTTACTTGCTAGAAATTTACTTATTTTATACTCAATGCCAATACAACTTTTTTTTTGTCAGATTGCTAAATATTAAAAGTTAATTAATAACTAGGATCTAAATCAATTAGTTCCTCCTTGCAATCTAGTACACAAATTTATGCATTTACGTCGGAAAATTGAGGTGCCCTTTTTAAAAGCAAACAAATCTTTTGTTTTATTTTTCATATATCAAATTAAGTTATTTTGTCCGGAATCGATACAATGTGCACAAGATTACAAGACGTATTCTTGTCAGTTTGAAACTTAGAACAGAGCCTTCATCCTCCGTCATTTTTTTTTCTTTTACTTTTTAATATATATACTAACTAAATTACGTGACGCCTAGAATTTTTAACTCGAAAATTACATTATTTTTCTTTTCAATTTTACGTATTTCATTGGTCAAACATCGGTTTCCATTACTTTTATTTTCTTCGGATTACTCAAAAAGTTTACACCTGTAAAAATAGTATCAATCCGAATAATGATGAATAGAGTAGAACGACAAGTTTTAAAAAAAAATTCTCACATTAAAAAAAAAGTAAACACACAAAAAAAAGCGCAGCTTTCAAAATTATCTAAGGGACATAATGGTGTCACTGCATTAAAATTTTATACAACTTCCCCTTTCATAATTGTGTAAAAGTTTTAAAAATATCGCCAGTCAATTTTCGTTTTCTTGAAATTAAATCAATCCGGTTGATCGTATTTTTTTTCTTCGGGAATGTGTAATTATCAAGAGTCTCAAAGAATTAGATAAATTTTATTTTGATAATTTACACTTTTAATATAATCGCCCTTTGAAACTGCAGCAACAAAAGAAAAATTGCTCTATCGTTTCTACTTTATTCATGATCTCAAAATTCAGTCTCCATTACAATGATGTTTTAAATAATAAAATTCTGACTGAATTTATACGAGAGCAAATTCTTTTCTAAGGCGGGCAAAGAAGAGAAAAAAATGAATGAATTTAAATACGAGCAGCAACTTTTTTTGTCAGCGATGTTCGACATTTTGAAAAACGAAAATTACTGCGTAGCGCATTGTACGCGTGATGGACCGCCTTCGTCTTCCTCATATGCCGCGCGTGTATCTCTTCGCCTTGATTCTTGTTCAGGATCTAAATCAGCGAGAACGCATTCCTCGGCTTCGTCAGGAATTAACACTTGTTCTCTTGGCGGTAAACACTGTTCCAATGTTGTTATAACGCTTGGATCAATTGTTTTTGGAAAATTAACAACAAATTGAATGATAAGACGTCCTTTCGTGAATGGATCTTTGTAAAATGGCATTCCTTCGTTTAAAATACACTTCAAGTCACCGTGTTTTATTATTTGGCCAGGCAGTACAGTTACCACCAAGTCCCTTGCATCTAGAGTCCTAATTACTTTCTGGAATCCACACAAAGCTTCCACTAATTCAATCTGCATACACATTATCAAGTCATTACCGCTGCGCCTAAAAAAAATTTATAATTACTATTTGAACTAGCCAAAAAAAAGTTAGCACTATACTTGATATTTTCAATTTTCGTTTAACATATTAATCATATATTATAATTATATTGATTAATCAAACAGGCCTCGGATCAACTTCAAGCTGACAAAAAAGTTGCTTTAGTCGATTAAATATTCGAAAAAGTCGTTTATTTAATTTAGTGTTGTCACAAAAATTTCATTTTGCATTTTCCTAAGCAAAACTCATTTCTAAATTCAATAATTTTGTTAAATAAAAAATTTTAAATATACTCGTTATTTATTTTATTACAGGAGATATTTTAAAGATTTTAATTTACTTTACTGCAGATAATTATGACATGGTTGCCACAAAAATTTAGTTAGTTAGTTTTTTATTTACTCTCCCTGCGCACAGCAGGGTTCGAGGATCCATTTACAAACAAATTTACAAAAATCTTAAGATTAATAACATATAGCCTTAACCTAATTACAATCTTTCGCTCTTATTCTACTTAAAACTACTCTTATCCGCCAGTGCCCGGGCCTCCGTTTCCGGTTTCTTTCACCCAGATTAGCTTCGTCAATATATTATTTAAAGTTCTCTATTCCCCATGACCCTCCCCTTCGTCCTCTATAACTTCACGCACACCTTTTCTCATTTTTTCCAATTCTTTCATCCATCTCTCCCCCTGTCCATTCTCATTTAAAATCCACCTCACTCTTTCATCCACTCCATCTCCCATATTCCCCTGACACACACTTGCACACCTATCCAACACATGCTCCCAATCTTCCAGCTCATACCCACATACTCTACACATCCTTTCATCCCCTCTCATCCAATATCTACATTCATTCATCCTCTCTCCCATCCTAAAACACACCATCCTACTCCATCTGCTTTCTTCTTTCATCCATTTTAAATATTTCGGCTCTCCCACTCCTTTCACCATCTTATACCATCTATTATACTTAGAGTTCACAATTCTCTCCCATCTTTCATCCTTATCTCTCTCCTTCCATCCCTCCTCCAAAATTACCCCACCCCTTTTTCCTTTCCTTCCCTGTTTTAACGCCACAACCCTTGCTTTTTCCCACTTTGACCACTCCCTAACCCCCCTCTCTTCCCTATCTTTTATCGCTTTCCAGCACACCTGCGTCCACCCATTTCCCTTTCCTTGACTCATTCTTTCTTCAAAATTCCATGCTCTCTTTCTTTGACGCACCACCATTTTCTCTCTTCCTATCTCTTCCCTCACCATGTACCCTGGACACCACATATTCACCCCCATCGTCCATCTTATATACTTCTCATGCATGCTCTCGACTTTACTCCATTCACACCATCCCCACACTTCCACTCCATAACACAACACGGACCATACTAACGCATCAAACAACCATAACCTCTTTTTCCAATCATTCATAAACCTCCTCTTTCCTATTCCCCACACTTGCCCCATAATTTTTCCCGCTTTCTCCACTCTTCTACTAACATTTAGCTTGTGACTACCATTATACGCGAACCAATACCCCAGATAACAAAACTCATTCACTTCTTCAATCTCTCTTCCATTCATTTTCCACACTTCCTCCTCACCACTCCTTTTCTTTCGAAATCTCATCATCTTCGTCTTTTCCACATTCACCCATAACTCTTTACAAATTCCCTTGTCCTTTCTTCAATAAGGGTACTATTACCCCCATTCTCCACTCTTCTGGCCACCCTTTCCCTCTCCAAATCCTGTTCACTAAATCCCACATTTCCCTTCTTATCACCTCTCCCCCGTATTTCATACTCTCCCCTTCCAGACCATCGTATCCTGCTGCCTTATTTCTCTTCAATCTTTCGATTGCTCCATCCACTTCCTCTCTGCTTATCTCCTTCTCCACTTCTTCCTTCTTTATTTTCTTTCTCCCTCCCCCTCTTACTCTGTTTTCTACCCCTCCACTTAATTCTCTGAAATATTCTGTCCATTGACCCATGCTAATTTCCTTACTCACCACACTACTTCTCTTTCTTCCTTCATTTATTATTTCCCACTCTCTTCCCTCTCTCACCGCCTTTTCCACTTTTTCCATAAATCTCTTTTTCTCTTCTTCCTTCTTGTTTCTGAGTAACTTGCCGTGTTTCTTGTGCCTAACATTATAATCCTTCTTCGTTGTTCTACCCTTTCTCCAATCCTTTATACACTTTCTCAATTCCTCTCTGCTATTCTCACACTCCTCATCCCACCAACCTTTTTTCTCTCCGTTTGTTACCATCTCTTTTTCAACTTCATTCCTAACTCTCTCTATATTCCTTCTTACTCTTGCTATTTGCTCATCGACACTTTCCTCACTTTCTTCCCCTTCCCATTTTTCTTGCAGCATTTTTTCATATTTCCTTAAATTTACAATGTCCCATTTCCCCATTTTAATTTTTCCTTCCTTTTTATTCTCTTCTTTCGTCCGTCCTCTACACTTTCTACTTTCTCCTGACAATTCCACCACTAGCGGGAGATGATCCGACCCTACTTCTATTTTAACTGTCATTTTCTCTATTAATTCCCTCATCCTTTCATCCGCTAACACATAATCTATTACTGTCTCTCCTCTTCCTATATACGTAAATTCTCCTTCTTCGTCTCCTTTTATATTTCCATTACAAATTGATCCCCCCCACTCTTCTATCAAATTTACCAGTTTCTTCCCTTCCTTGTCTTCTTCTTTGTGTTTCGATGTTCTCTCATACTTCCCCAGATCTTCATTCCATATCCCTCCCCCTAATTCCCCCGTCCACGCATTTAAATCCCCCCCTATTAATACCCTCCTATCCTTACTCCTTTCCATTCGTTCTTCCAATATATTCCATCCCTCCACCTCCCCTCTCCTTCTGTATACCCTCACTATATCTACCATTTCCCCTTCTATGCTTATTGATCTTACCATGCAACCTTCTCTTTTCACACTTCCTTTCTTTCCTTTCTCTTCCCTTATACTCGTTCTCACCCCCGTTATCATCCCACCAGCACTTCTCCCTTTCTTGTTCACCTTTTTTGCCCCCTGTATCTCCCATCTGTAACCCTTTGGTAAAATCCTTTTTATAAAATCCCATTTTTTCTTCTCCACCCACGTTTCACTCAAAAAAACCATATCCCATTTTCTCACCACTTTCCAAAAACCTTCGTCTTTGTTTTCCAATCCCGCCACATTCCAAAACCCTATTTTTATATTTCCTTGTTTATTCCTCTTCCCGTTCCTTCTGCGTCCTGAAAATCCATTCCCAGCCCCTCCTTTACCACCTCTCCCCTCTCCTCGTCAACCCACCATTGCACCCCATTTACCCAGATACATTCTTTCCCAAATTTTACCTCTTTACCCTTACCCCTCTCTTCCCATGCTTTACCTTGCAACAACCATCCTACCCTCCTTTCCCTCCACGTTTTATCCTCCTCTATTCTTTCCGGTCTCCCTTTTAGTCGCTTCTTCAGCATCATTATTTCTCTTTTTTCCTCTTCACTTTCCAAGTCCACCACCCACACTTTCGGCACTTCTTTATCATCCCCTCCCACCCCTCTTACTCCTTTAATGCTTGCTTTTGCTCCTATTTCTATCAGCAATCTGTTAATTTCATTTTTTCCCTCCTCCTTTTTCACTTTAAGTCCTTTTATCACGATGCTGCACTTTCTTTTTTCTTTTTCCAGCCTTTCTACCTGCCTTCTTAATTCTCCCATCTTTCTTTCTATCCCTTCATCTATTTGCACATTCCTTCCTCCACTACTACAACCTGCCACTACATTTTTCTCCAATTCCTCCACTCGCTTTTCCAAAATTTTCACTTCCTCTTCTTTTTCTCTCTCTGTTCTTTTTTGCTCTAATTCTAATCTTTCTAATTTTCTCATAATTCCATTCTTTTCTTTACTCCATTTATTCTCCCATTCTCCCCACATATTCTTAATAGAACCAATTTCCTCCCTTAACTCATCAATCTTTTCATCCCTTGCCTCCTCTCTTCTACCACTTTCCTCCCTACCCTCCCTTATCTCTTTACCCAATAGTTCTATCCTCTCATTCGTCTCTTCACTCATCCTTATCATAAGAAAAGCAAGTTCTTGGAAACTCTTTTCTTCCTCTTCACCTTCCTTAGTTTCATTTTCCTCTTCTTTTTCTTCTCCGCTTTTACTTATTTCTGTTAATTCATTTTCTATTTTTTTACCTAATCTCGCTAATCTAATTTGGCTTTGCCATTTTGCCATCATCCTTTTCGACGCTGCCAGCCCCCTCTCTTTATCTAACAATTCTACGTTCCTCGGCCTCCCCGCCCTTTTCCTTCTCTCACTGTATTCAGTGAAATCAATCACCGACGAACTTCTTGTAGCCTTCGGGGTACCGAATACTTCGTCGTCGCCTATACTTTCCGCCCCTGACTCACCGGCCTCTCTCACTTTCTCTTCTTTCTCTCTCTCGCATTTCTCATTTTCACTTTCCAGTCGCTCCTGCCCTCTCTCGTCATTCTTTTCAAAATTCTCCATACTTCCTCCTAGCACGTGACACCACGCACGTGACACACACCCACTCTCTCTCTTTCCCACACTCGCACTTCTCTCTCACTCTCAATTCTAACCTTCAATACTCACTTATTTTTTCGTGCCTTTTTCTTTACACACACTCACGCAATTTCTCTTTTTATCAAATATACTCACACAGGTCACCTTAATTTCACTCACACTAACACTGCACTACCCACCCTTGCAAAAAATGCCTTTAAAACTGGCTCAAAAAAATACCGCAATTACTCACGACTATACTGTGACGAATCCGGAAACGGAAGCCACCACAAAAATTTAATTTTGTTTTTTCCTGACTTTTTCCTGATTTCCAGACAAAATATTACTTTTTCCCTGATCTTAAGTCCCTAAAGAATATTCTGATTCACTCTAAAAATGTTCTATTACATTTATTATCGAATTTCTTTAATTGTAAAATTATTCCAAAACATCAATAACTTCCTTTTTAAAAAAATATTTAATCCTTATTATTTTTCTATAAGAAGAAATAAATTTTTTAATTTCAAATTTCAACCTTTTGAAATTTAACAGCTTATAATAATTAAAGATGATCGAGTGATAAAATCATTATTTTATATTATAAGATAAGAATATTGCTACTGTAAGTTCTTCAAAATTATTTTCATCCCTTCAATTCAATTATTATTTTCTAGAATTTTTAACTAAAATTCTTCCATATAACAATTATTTTTAATAATTTTTGAAAAATAGGAGTAGAGATGATTCTATCACTCAGTCGTATTTTAATAAATAGTGAAATTTAACGATCACTCCGAGTCAAGAAAATTAAATTTTATTTTAATTTAATTTCCTTGACTCGGAGTGATCGTTAAATTTCACTATTTATTAAATTTTTGAAAAAGTTCTTTGCGAATTTTTAAATCCATTTGTTCACAATTCAATTTTACGAAATTTTGATTATTGTATTCGTAAATTCTTCAATTAAATATATATTAGAAAATAAAAACTTCAAATAATATCAAAAAAACTTCAAATAACGTTTTTCCAAAAAAATTAATTCTACGGAATTCTTAGTCAAAAATATGAAAAATTTAAATTTTCAAAGATTTTAATTTGAAACCTTCTGAATATTGAATTATTTCTTAAAATTCATGTTATATAATGCTTTTAATATTCAATTATTATCTAAAATTTTAACTGAAATTAATTTTTTCATCAATTTTTATTAGAAAATTCTACGAGAATTCAATTATTTAAATACAAAAATAAATAATTTATTGAATAATTGAATGTTTCTTAAAATTTAATTCTCATAAAGAATTTTATCAACAAATTTTTATATAATTGAATTCTTTTAATGAATTTTAATAAAATTTTTAATAATTAAATTTTTTAGATGAATTCGATTAAAATTGTTTTAAAAATAACTGAAATTCTGCGATGAGTTTTATTACTTATCAAAATAATTAAATTATTGTAAAGAATTTTATAAGACATTTCTAAAAAATGTAAATAATTGAATTCTTGTAAAAGTTTTATTATTTATGAAAAAAAATTGAATTTTTTCAACGAATTTTATCAAATTTTTAAAAATAATTATTGAATTCTTGTGAAGACTTTTATAAGTATTTTGAAGTATTTTATGGAAATTTTTTAAAAATTAGTAAATAATTGGATTCCTGTGAAATTTATATTATTTATGAAAATAATTGAATATTTTGCGTAGAATTTTATTACAATTTTTTTTAAATAATTGAATTCTTTGGAAAGTTGTATTAAATTAGCAGATATTGAAAATCATAGAATTGAGGAAAATTTTTGAAAATACATAATTGAATTTCTGCAATCATTTGTAACTTCTCCAAACTTTAATTTTTTTAGTGTTTCTATCTAAAATTCTTCTATAAATCCATTATTTTTAATAATTAATTAAATATATATATATATATATTAAAAAATTTAAATAATTTCAGAAGAATTTGATCTATTAAAATTTTTCAAAAATCGAAGTTCTTTAAAATTTCTAATTAATTGAAAATTGAAATTTTCTAAAATTTCAAATTGAAACCTCTTGAGGTTCACCTATTTATGAAAATTGTAAATACAATTCTTTTAAAATTCAATTAGTTTTGAAATATTTAAGTAAAATTATTCATTAAATAGTTTCTAGATATTTCTTCAAGAATGAAGTTATTTAATGAGAAATTATTGTCAGAAATAGAAAAAATTGAAGATTTTGTATTAGAATTCGTGGTAATTTTATATTTTATGAGGCAAACGAAAAAGACAGCAAAAATCAGAATTTTCTTATGAATTATAGAAATTTAATATTTTCAGTAACTTTAATATTTTCAGTAACTTTAATATTTTCAGTAATATTTTCCCTGACTTCCCTGACCAGTATGTGGCAACCCTGAGATTACTTTAGTATATTTTCGTAGCACACGAAAAACATTAACCAAAAAGAAGAATTTGTTTCAACTTACTTGAAAATATCGTGTTCCTTTTCGTCAAGAATAATGACAATGTCACCGGGTTCAAGTTCAGGTTCTTGATCGCCTTCACCTCCGAAAACAATCTTCTGTCCATCGACCATGCCCTTATCAACGTGAACTTCAAGAATTTTCCGATCTCTCACTGTCTTGCGACCATTGCATTGTTTACATCGATCTTTGGGATTGATACGCTCCCCTTGTCCCTTACACTCTTGACACATGTGCTGGAAGCGTTGTATCATTCCTGGGCCTAATTGTTCGACTTGTACAGTCATGCCCGAACCACCGCAATTGGTACATTGTTCTACAGCGCCTTTCTTACCGCCTACACCTGTAAATCAAACATGTCCTTATACATTCTCATCACTTCTTTATAAAATAAGCGTAAATTTACATTCGTTGGATAAACTTTAAGGCGCAAAAGAGTAGTTTTAGTCGATTCAAAGTAAAATCATTGCTTTGTATTATAAGAAAATTTTAACTGTAACTTCTTCAAAATTATTTTCATCATTTCAATTCAATTATTATTTTCTAGAATTTTTAACAAAAATTCTTCATTAAATCAATTATTTTTAATAATTTCTAAAAAAAAAGTTTTTCGAAAATTTTCAAATCCATTTCTTTACAATTTATTCAATTTTACAAAATTTCGACTGTTCGGGAATTCTTCAATTAAAGAAGAATATTAATAAATAAAAACTTCCAATAATTTCAAAAAAAGCTACAACGCATTTAATATTCAATTATAGTTAAAAATTTTAACTAAAATCAATTTTTAAATCAATTTTTATTAGAAAATTCTACGAGAATTTAATAATTTTAAATAATTGAATTCTTTCGACGAATTTTAATAAAATTTTTAAAAATAGATATTCACATTTTTCAAGGAATTTGATTAAAATTGTATTAAAAATAATTGAATTCCTGTTAAATTTTTATTATTTATGAAAATAATTAAATGTTCGCGTAGAATTTTATTAACATTTTTTTTAAATAATTGAATTTTATTGGAAAAAGTTATTATAATAGCAGATATTGAAAATCATAGAATTGAGGAAAATTTTTGAAAATAATTGTAATTTTGCCAAGAATTTTATTAACATTTTTGAAAATAATTAAATTTCGAAAAAGAATTTTATTATTTATAAAGATAATTAAAATTTTGACGAGAATTTTTTTTATATTTTTGAACATAAATTAATTTCTGCAAAGAATTTGATTACTTTTGAAAATAATTGAATTTCTAAACCTGAAATTTTTCTATAAAGTCATAATTTTTAATATTTAACTAAATATATATTAAAAAATTCAACTAATTTCAGAAAAATTTGAATTATTAAAATTTTTCAATAATCTAAGTTCTTTAAAATTTAATTAAATTCATGCAAAATTGGAATTTTCTAAAATTTAAAATTAAAACCTTTTAAAGTTCATCTATTCATAAAATTTTGATCGCAACTCTTTTAAAATTCAATTAATTTTGCAATATTTAAGTAAAATTATTCATTAAATAATTTATGAATAATAATTTCATGAAAGTTCTTCAAGAATTAAGTTACTTAAAAAGAAATTATTATCAGTTAAATAGTTTATGAGGAAAACAAAAAAGACACAAAAATTCATAATTTTCTTATGAATCCTACGCGGAAAAAATGTTGGGACATCAGATGCGCCGAGGACAGTGTCAACAGCAGTACATTTCATTTTGCAAGTCTGAGGTGCTTTTTTGAGACGTGCAAAATGAATGTACAAGAAATTTTGACACAATGTGTACATCTGAAGTGCTGAAATTTTTTCCGTGTAAGAATCTAATTTTTTTCTTTTAATTTTTAAAATTTTCTTCTAATTTTTCTTTTAATAAAACCCCTGAGTTTCCCCTGAATTGCCTGACCTGTAGCAACTCTGAATAAAATTTGAATGATATAAAATTTTAACCCTCTGCTGACGCTAACTTATCCCCACTCTATCGCCAAAGAACGTAACTCCCATAGTCCCCCCACCAGGCCCCCAGAATGACGATTTTTGACGAAAGCGGTCGTTAGCATCAGCAGAGAGTTAAATCATTTTTTCAATTTTGACTATAATTTACCTTCACATTTATCACAGATGACATTCTTTTGTAAGGCCAGTTTTCGCACAGTGCCTTTGTACAATTCCTCAAGAGAAACTGAAAGTTGATGCATAACATTCTGTCCCTTGCGTTCTCTACGACCTCTCCTTCTGCCGCCGCCAAAGAACATCTCAAAGATGTCCATGGGAGACGATCCAGAACCTCCGCCACCTTCCTTCAAGGCCTGCTCACCACCTTGATCGTAAATACGCTTTTTCTCTGGATTCGAGAGTACTTCGTAAGCTTGTGAAATTTGCTTAAACTGTAATCATTAAAAAAGAAATTAAATTCAATACTTATACAAATGAATAATCGATTTTTAAGTTTTATTCACTTGCAGGCTTCACACTCAATTATTAATAATTATAAAATGTAGCAAAAAGTAACTTTAAGACTGAAAAAAGTAGTAAAAACCAGCTATCGAAAATTAAATTTCACGACTAAAAATTCCCAAAATTTTGACTCAATAATTTCCTGACTTTCCTAATTTCCATAAAAAACATTAACTTTTTAAAATTTTTTAAAAATACGATTATATTTGAAAAAGAATAAAATTCGTTAAAATATTAACAATTTTCAATTAGGTAACTTTTGTCAAAATTTCCAATTAATTATTCAATTATTAATTCCAATTAACTTTTTTAATAATAAGTTAATTATTAAAACCACTCGGACTTTAAAGACATTATTATAATCTTTTTAAATAATTTACGGGAATTTAACAATCTTCAAAAAATTTTACTCGCAATATTGTAAAAGACTAATTTTTTGCACAATTTCTAAATTAAACTATTAAGGAAGAATCTGATGTACAGTCAAAACAAAAATTAGTCCAATGTCATAATTTCAGAATTTAAAAGAAAAAGACAAATTGAATTTAAAATTCTGTTTTGGTGAAAACGCGAAGAATTAAATTTTGAACTTTTAAATCAATTGAAAGTTGCATTTGAATAAAAAAATAACAATTTTCTGTCAATAAAAAATATTTGTTAAATTTTAGGTTATGTTACTTAAATAATTTATTATTCTCAAAAAGTATAATTTTTATTCAAATATAACTTTAAATTATTCAAAATGTAGAAAATTAAATTCCTTACGCTTCTACCGAAAGGAATTTAAAATTTAATGTGACCTTTTCTTTCAAAATAAGAAATTATGAAATTGGACTAACTTTTGTTCCGATTGTTTGTCATGAACAAAAAGTTTTGAACGTTCAAATGAACGAAATATTTTTTGTTAAAAATATTTTCATAGATTATTGATTACAATTCAAATTAAAAACTCAAATTTTACATTTAGAAACATTATAATTAATTTGCTTAATAGTGACGCAAAATTATAGTAATAAAAATTTAATTTGAAGAAGAAATAAATAAATTTCGTTCATTTGAACGTTCAAAACTTTAACCTCCTTGTTTGTCGGATTCTTCCTTAAAAATTGAATAATTTTTGTTAAATAAAAATTGAAGTACTTATTTGTGACTGTCCACGAGAAAACAGGGCTTAGCTTTCACAGGGCGAGTGATTGAAGTAGAAGCAGAACGAAGGAATGCATACAATATAACATCTTTAAAACGTTGTATTGTCAAAAGTAATTGACAATTTACAACTTTTAATTTTTGCATTTGAAAAAGCAATATAATATCTATCGATTAGCATAAAAACTCAAAATTGATTTTTTAGAGCTAAGCCCTGTTTTCTCGTGGACAGTCACATTTATATTTTCACAGCAATTAATTCTTCTAAAATTCAATTACTTTTTTAAAATTTTGAAATAAAAATTATTCAAAAACTGAATAATTGATCGAAGAATTGATTATTTTTTAAAATTGAATTCTTATAATTTTATTAAAATTTTTTTAAATAATTGAATTCTTTCAAAGAATTTTAATAATTCTAAAGAAAAAAGTATCATTTACAAGGTGTCTACTATTTTCGTTCAATAAAATTCCCGATTTTTTCCCAGCTTTGTCCTAATTTTTCCCGGTTTTTTTTCTCATAAAATTTAAATTTATTTTATATCGAATATAAATAAATCTACAAATGGCTTCCAAATTTTTTATTAGAGTTTTTATGAATCATTAAATTCTTTTGACAAGTTTCTTTAAATTTTTTGAAAATAATGTTTTTTTTAATAATTTTAATTAAAAATTTGGAAATTAATTGAATTAAACAAAGAATATTTTCAATTTTTTAAAATAATCTTGTTTGTTCATAATTATAATTGAAAATTAGATTAATTCAATTGTATTAAAATGTATTGATACTAATTGAATTTTTGCAAAGAATTTTACTATTTATTGTAATTGAATCCTTCCAAAGAATGTTATTACATATTTATGAAAATAATCAAATGTTTGCGTAGAATTTTATTAAAATTTTTGAAAAAAATTGAATTGTGGAGAACAATTTAATTATTTATAAAGATAATTGAAATTTTGAGAATTTAAAAAAAATTTTAAACACAATTGAATTTCTGTGAAGAATTTTATTACTTTTGAAAATAATTGAATTGTTTTTTATAATTTTATGGAAATTTATGAAAATAATTGAATTCTTGTGAAGAATTTTTAAAAAATCATATTCAAAAGAATTTAGTAAATCTGAAGAATTTTGCTATTTATGGAAATAATTGAATTCTTGAGAAGATTTTTTTTTCAGTTTCTAGAAATAATTGAATTCTTTCAACGAATTTTTATAAAAATTTTAAGAATAATTTCATTTTTCGAGGAATTTGATTAAAATTGTATTAAAAATAATTGAAATTCTGCAATGAGTTTTACGAATTTATAAAAATAATTGAATATATTGCGAAGAAATTTTAACTAATAAAAATTTTGATTATTAATCTTCGCACCAAAAAATGTGAATACATTAGAATGTGACTCTTTATAAAATTTAATTATTTATCAATTATTAAATTAAAAAACTTTGAAAATTCGATTTGTTAACAAGTTTTTAATTAAATTCTTTAATAAATTTTATTATTTTCTGTGGAATTTCACAAAATTTCTATTAATTCGATAATTTAAAAAAATATATATTTACATACTATATTTCAATTAATTATTTTTAACTAATTCAAATTTAGAGAACAGTATAAATATCTATAAAAATTGGTATAAAAAGCGAATTTTTAAAAACAAATTATAATAATAAAACTTTTTTTAATTTGGTGAAAAAATTCCCGGTTTGGCATAAAATTCCTGACTTATTCCCGATTTTTCCCAGTCAAATTAAATTCCCGGCTATTTCCCGGATTTCCCGGTTAGTAGACACCCTGATTTAGTTTCACAAATCTAAAAAAAAAGTATCCAAATAGTAGCAAATGGTAAAAAAAATAGTAGTAAACAGTAGGTTTTAGTAAATGAGTGCGAAACCTGCACTTGAAACTTTGACAATATAATTATAAATAATGATTGTATAATAATAATTGTAATTTTAATTTCTTTCTTACCTTATCGCCCTCATTTGGATTTTTGTCCGGGTGATATTTCAAAGCTAATTTTCTATAAGCTTTCTTGAGATCCTCCTGTGTGCATCCAGGTTTTACTCCCAGGACATCATAAAAAGTGGTCTCTTTCACCATTTTGTTTTGTTACTAATCTTCCAAAAGAATTAGAAATCAACTACAGTCTGTAAAAAAATCAAATATTTTAATTTCATTCATAAAAAAAATTAATTTCTCAATTTTTAGTACATTTTTTTCCACTTGTGACAAAAATTTTTAAAAAATGAAAATTTAAAAATTCGTATAAATTGGCGTTCAAATAATTAGAAATTATGATAGAAATTTTCGATGGTAAAAATAAATCTATAACGTGTATAGAGAATATTTCGAAAGGTATTTTTGACATTAGAAATTAAAGAAAGATAAAATAAGGAATATGAGAGTGAGAGAGAGAGAGAGAGAAACTTGTATATCTCAAAGTTGCATTACGTCTAGTAAAAAAGATTACAATACATTTTTTTATTTGTTCTAAAAATATATATATATAGAAATGAATAAGCGCAAAAACTTTTAATTAATAATACATTAAAAGACGATAAGCGTATCAAGGTTGAAAGTCAGCAGTTCGTCAATGATTTAAAAATGGCTGACACAACGTAGGTTATTAGAAGAAAATTTCTATATCTTTATTTTCCCGTACACACACAGTTAGGCAAATAATTAATTCTGTACACGCCTCTTAAATTCAACACACACACACGCAATGCATAAATCTACATTTGCAAATCATTTTTTTTATTCCAGAAATGAAAAAAAATTCACGCAACCTTCAATTTCTACGATTTCTACTACCCACGTTTTCAGGAAGTTAAACATTTTTATTTCTCCAAAAAAGCATTTTATTAAGGAAAAAAGACGAATTTATTCATGTAATCCAAATTTTTATCCCCTTAAATTTCAATCACTTTTTGGATAATATTCTCTAAAAATGTCGGGGAAAAAGGAGTCGAGCATGAAATTTACATTTTCAGTCAGTGGGGAAAAAAAAGGTGTTAGGTGAACTTTTGACCTTCGAACTACAATTAACTATTTCTATTTGAAATCCGTTATGAAATCAAGAACGGAAACAGCATTTGTATGAATTCTATGGCGTGCGTTGTTTATCTTGAAAGCAATTTTACAAAAAAAAATGAGTTACTTTCATTGATCGTTGAAAAAATTGCATACAAAATAAATTTCGATAAATTTTTCCTTCCGATTGTAAAGTTTAATGGCATTTTTTTTTTCATTCTCACCTGTTCTCAGCACGACGAGAAATTGAGCTAGCTGCACAAAAACTTAGCGTCCTTACAAACACTCGCGTGGTCGAATAGAATTTGGGGAAATATTCCGTCTCTCACTTAAAACCTTTCTGTGAATTTCTAGTGATAAGTGTTCTCGAAACTTCGTTGGAAACACTGCAAATGTATCAAAGTTTTTTTTCGCCATTAATCATACAATTGAGATGGTTAATATAGACGTGAAAAACTAACCTTGTTGTATAACAACAATCCACATATCAGATGTCCCTGTCTATCTGGTGCAGACTTCAAGGCGTAAAAATTGTCCAGACAGGAAAATCTATATTGGAGTAACGGAGACCGAACTGAGCCTATCTCTCTTACTCTAATATAGATTTTCCACTCTGGACAATTTTTATTTTTTCTCTGAGGGTGCGATCCCATGTGAGCAGAATACGTCGACCGAAAGCAGAAAATCACGAGTGCAAAAGAGATAGGTAGATATTGTTGTTCTTTTCACTCTCATGATTTTCTGCTTTCGGTCGACGAATTCTGCTCACATGGGATCACACCCTGAGGCCGCAGTCCCATGGCAGCGTTTTGCGTTGCGTTGTAATGAGAGAGAATGCATCAAACGTATATTTGCGTCTTTTTCTTTCCCATTACGACGCAACGCAAAACGCTGTCATGGGACTCCACCCTAAGGCTGCGGTTACACCTCTGCAGGCTGCCTGCCTGCGCAGGCAGGAGCAACGAGAGTAAGGGAGAAGTTTGAAGTCACTGACTCTCTTACTCTTGTACGTTACCATGACAACCTGCAGGCAGGCAGGCTGCCTGCAGAGGTGTAACCGCAGCCTAAGGGTGGAGTCCCATGACAGCGTTTTGCGTTGCGTCGTAATGGGAGAGAAAAAGACGCAAATATACGTTTGCTGCATTCTCTCTCATTACAACGCAACGCAAAACGCTGCCATGGGACTGCGGCCTAAGGGTACGGTCCCATGATGAGCAGAAAACAGAATGCAAAGCAGAATTTCGTTAGTGCAAGAGAGATAGTCAGATATCACTATCCTTTCCACTCTCACGAAATTCTGCTTTGCATTGTGTTTTCTGCTCATCATGGGACCGTACCCTAAGGGTGCGATCCCATGTGAGCAGAATACGTCGACCGAAAGCAGAAAATTATGAGAGTGAAAAGAACAACAATATCTACCTATCTCTTTTCCATTCATGATTTTTTGCTTTCGGTCGACGTATTCTGCTTACATGGGATCGCACCCTAAGTATGTGCATTTGGCTTAAATTTTTTACAATTTGAAGCTTTTTTCACAATATTGTTTGCCTATCTATAATATTTTTACCATTGTTCATCATCAATGTCGGAAATATGGCGCCGAAGTGAAAGACGCGATATTGGAAAATAATAGAAATTATTAAATTGATATCGGCTATTCATTTGGAAAGCATAAAAATCATACAAAAATGAGTAATATATCACCGTTTGGAGGTGGAAAGAACCCACCGTGGGTTAGAAATTCAGGTAAATATGTTATTTTTCAATTTTATTTTTTACTGTTTTTCATATGCACATAAGAGGTCGATGATCCTAATGTTGTCAAATTGTGGCAGAATTCATTATATATCATTTTTTTACCATCATCTAACTTTCCATATGTTTCTTTCAACTTACTTGAATATATTTATTGCTTTTATCAAATATAATAAAAACGTATGCACGAGTATATAAAGATTAGAAAATATTGATTATTTTCAAGATAGTATTTATCAATTTTATGGTTTATTGTAGCTGGCTAACAACAAAAATATTCAAGTTTTCATGACTCTTTATAAAAATCGATTTTTTTTTCTTCTAATAATTATTATAAAATAGTTTTAATTGTGTGGTTAATAATAATGAAAATGAATTAATAGGACAAATTCAAAATATACAACAACAAATGTTGGGCCAAGCCATGGGTGGTATAGGAGGTCAACCAATGGTTCAATATCAGCAACAAACTCAGCAAGTGTACCAACAGAGTTTAGGTTTACAACAAGTAAGTGTAAATTTTTGAAATATATTAAATAAAAAATCTAATTTGATGAATTAAAAGTTATTGTGTGAGAATATTAATTAACAATAATTGAAATTTTAGCAAAACTTGACAATGGCTTCAATGGCCACTCTCAGTTCAAATCTACAATCGGGAATAGCAGGACAATTATATCCACAAGTGGCAACAGTTTCATATCCAACTCCGCGGGCGTTAAATACAAACGCTTTTCAACAATCGGTTGCCGGCGTTACACAACAAGTTCAACAAAACGTCCAATCCTCTTCATCGACAAAGCAACGAGTATTTACAGGCATAGTTACCAAAGTTCATGACAATTTCGGTTTCGTCGATGAAGATGTGTTCTTTCAAACAAGGTAATTTGTTATTCAAAATTATATTTCTTCTTTAACAGAGGTGCCCAGGGTGGCCGCTGAACCGGGAAATGACAGGGAATTTTTTTGGACCGGGAAAAGACAGTGAATTTTGGTCTTGACTGGGATTTTGGAATTTTTTTTTAAAAACACTGATTATTTTGGGAGAAAAAAAGAAATATTTATTTTAAGACTTATTAATTATATTTCATTAAAAAAGATTGAATGATCTATAAAATCGTTTTATTTTGTTAGGGAATTTTAATTATGAAAAGTACTGGAAAAATATTCAATTTCTAGAATTTATAAAAAAAATTATGAATTTTGTCCAACGTAACAGACTTAAAAAGAAAATATTAAATTCTTTCTATTTCTAACAATAATTAAACAAAATATAATTTTGATTAAATTCGTCGAAAAAATTTAAAAGAGAAAAAATTCATATCCCATAAAATAGTGAAATATAAATTAATTAAAAAATTTGTTTTGCAATACACTCAAATCTCGCTATAACGAGTGCTCTTTATAACGAGAGCTCTGTCTCTCGGTATAGCGAGGAAAATTTCCTCCCGATTACCCCCACTATTTATAAACAAATGCACATTCATTTGGTTTAAAGTTGGTTAAAATCAATTTTATTTATATAAAATAAAATAAAAAAGTCATAAAAGGTCACTTCTTATTTGAAATTATATCAATCTTCAAAATTTTAGCTTATATAAATTTTCTGTACGTTAAAGTTCAAATTAAACTATTAGGTTACGTTTGTAATTTTGACATTATGTAAATTGTAAACACTAAAAAAAATGAATGAAGAATCTTAAAAGTGGGGATTTCTCATTTCTCCTCTTACGCTCGTCGTAATAGAGGGAGACTTGACTCCCGAACTTCTCGTTATAGCGAGATTCGAGTGTAATATTATGTATCACAAAAACAAATTTGAATTAGTAAAAATTTAAACTGATTAGAACAAAAGTGATACGATATTAAATAAAAATTAATTTTTAAATAATAAATAAAGTAAATAAAAAATAAATAAAATTTCTTTTGTTAGAAAATAAATTTTTAAATAACCGTATTTTGCATTAATATCAATTCGTTTTTTTACAATTAATCATTAACAACTATTTCTATCTATTAGAATGTTAAATTAATATTACTAATATTAATATAAATTGAATTTTAAAAACTTTCAAATTAAAGTTTTAAAAAACTTGACTTGTAAAAGATTTTAATTAAAAATTCTGAGCGAATTTTGAAGAAAAATTTTAAACTCCTTAAACTCAATCGGCCCATCTCGGGTCTTTTTGGAAAATTTTCTGTATGTTATCAGGTATAAATAAATAAAAAAAATACATATTAATCACGTCCAAATTTAAAAAAAAATTAATTTGTTTATAACAAAATAATTTTTTTACATTACTTAAAAGTTGAAGAGAAACCAAAATTTTTTTCCTTTGACAAGTTTTTTCTAAACTCAATACTGGGGGCTCCAACCATTTAACATTTCGCCCCAGCATGGGGCGAAAAGACGATCCACAAGTTTTGAACGTTCAAATGAACGAAATACTTTTTATTAAAAATATTTTCATAAATTACTGATTGCAATACAGATTAAAAGCATAAGTTTTATATTTAGAATCTTTATAATTAATTTTATTCATAGTGACATAAAATATTATAATAAAAATTTAATTTGTAGAAGAAGAAAATAAATTTCGTTCATTTGAACGTTCAGAACTTTAGGATCATGCGAAAAGTTAAAAAAAAACAAAATATTCAAAAAAGAACAAAACATGTATTTTACGCGAAAATATCAGAAACTTTTTTATTGAAAGTTGTAGAGGACAAGTTGCCCTACAATATATATATATATATATATATATATATATATATATATATATATATATATAGCGAGAGCAGCATATATGTAGCGAGAGCAGCAAACTTCACTCTCGAAAAATCACACTTTCGCCACTAGTTGTACAATGTACTATTTTTTAGACAATATAATTCGCCTGGATGCAAATATATATATATATATATATATATATATATATATAGTAAGTAAGTAAGTAAGTAAGTAAGTATAATATATAGTAAGTTCTACTTTCGCCACATTTTTCTACCAAGAAAAGTACTCCTTTCAGACCAAGTGTTGGAGAAAATCATTTATGCAAAATTTAACCTTTCGCCGCAGTCTCCCCTAGTACATACAATTTTTATAAATATTTTTGAAAGAAATTAATTATATACAAAATTTTTAATAAAGTTCTGCAATAGAAATAAATTATTTTTAAAAATTTTGATAAAAATTGTTTATAATAATCAATCTACACTATCAATACATGTGTGATTATGTTCCTCAAAAGAATTTTATTATTTTCAAAATTTTTAACATAAAATTTTTTGCAAAAATCCCATTATTTTCGGAGATAATAACATTTTTTACAGGAATTTAATTATTTTATTCTATTTTCAAAAGTAATAAAATTCTTCGCAGAAATTCAATTAGGTATGTTCAAAAATTTAAAAAAATTCTTGTCAAAATTTCAATTATTTTTATAAATAATAAAATTCTTCTCCGAAAGTCAATTATTTTCAAAAGTTTCTAATAAAATTCATCGAATCAATTCAATTCTTGTCGAAAATTTTAATAAAATAAAATCCTTCACAAGAATTTAATTATTTTACAAGTAATAAGATTTTTCACATGAATTCAATTATTTAAAAAAATTCAATAAAATTCGTTGCAAAAATTCCATTATTTTCATAAATAAAAAATTCTTCAGAGAATTTCAATTATTTTTAATACAATCTTAATCGAATTCCTCAAAAAATGTAATTATTATTAAAAGTTTAATTAATATTCGTCAAAAGAATTCAATTATTTAAAAATTTATAATAATTATTAGATTTAGGAGTACTTTGTACGAAATGGCTTGTCCCGTGATTTTCTAAATAAATAAATAAAATTCTTTAAGAGAATTCCATTATTTTGAATACCTACAATTTTAATAAATTTCTTGAAGGAATTTAATTATTTTCAAAAGTTTCCAAAAAAATAATTTTAAAAAATTCAATTGTTTCCAAAAATTTTAATAAAATCCTTCACAATTCAATTATTTTTACAAATAATAAAATTTTTTGCAGGAGTTATTTCAATTATTTAAGATAATTGGATTCTTGTAGAACTTTCTAATAAAATTGATTTAAAAAGGAATTTTAGTCAAAATTTTAGATTTCAATTTATTGAATATTAAATGCGTCTTAGCAAGAATTTTTATAAATACATAATTGAGTCGCTGCGTACAATAACAACAAGTGCACGTGGTCTGGTATTATCCTTTTCGACCGCGAGCACTTGCTGTAATTGTACGCGGCGGCTCAATTGTGTTTTGAAACCTTTTCAAATTAAAATTTTAGAAAATTTGAATTTTTCATTCTTTTAACTAACAATTCTGTAGAACTAATTTTTTTGAAAAAGTTTAATTGAATTTTTTTAAAAAATTATTTGAAGTTTTTATTTTCTAATATATGCCTATTTAATTGAAGAATTCCCGAATAATCGAAATTTCGTAAATTTGAATTGTAAAGAAATGAATTTGAAAATTTTCAAAGAACTTTTTCAGAAATTATTAAAAATATTTGATTTAAAGAAGAATTTTAGTTAAAAATTGTAGAAAATAATAATTGAATTGAAATGATGGAAATAATTTTGAAGAATTTACAGTAACATTATTCTTATAATATAAAATAATGATTTTATCACTCGGTAGTCTTTAATTATTACAAAACATGAAGAAATCGATCGATATCTTCATGTTTTATAATATAATATTTTTATAAGTTGTTGAATTTCAAAAAGGTTTGAATTTGAAATTTTCGAAAGTTTTAATTTCAATGGAAAAATAATAATGATTAAATAGTTATTTAAAAATGAAGTTATTGATGTTTTCGAATAATTTTTACAATTAAAGAATTTTTTTATATAAATGTAATAGAACATTTTTTTGAGTATATAATAATTTTTGGAATGAATCAGAATATTCTCTAGGGTCAGGGAACAAATTAGAATTTTATCTGGAAATCAGGGAAAAGTCGAGGAAAAAGAAAATAAAATTTTTGTAGCAAGCATTTCACATAGAATATTTGATTCCAGTGCTTGTGTCAAGGGATCAAATCCAGTTGTCGGCGATCGTGTTCTGGTAGAAGCATCTTACAATCCTTCAATGCCTTTTAAATGGAACGCTACCAGAATTCAAGTGCTGCCTATGGGCAATAGTTCTAATAATAGTAACGTAAATACTCACCAATCAAGTCAATCGAATCGTCAACAACAACAAATCCGACCATCGGGAACATACAATGCTGTTCCTCCACCATCAGAAAATTCAAATAGCAGGTTAAGTATTTATTTGCAAAATAATTATTGTTTCGTGAATAAATAATTCAAAAACAATTATATTTATTTTACTCAATTTTTGTTATTTTTGCCGTTTTGAAAAGCAGATTTAGTTCTAATAATAATAGTGGAGTTGCGTCTACAAATCGTACGAAGGCTGGAAGAATACGAGAAAGATCTCGAGAGCGACGTAATGACGATGAGGAAATTGAGAGAAAACGTCGTCGGGAAGAACGAAATCGAGAACGTGAAAAGAAAGATGAGCGTAGTCCGTCAAGAACAAGAAGAAGTAAATCACCTAGACCTCGTCGACGCACTCGAGTCGTTCCACGTTATATGGTTCAAATACCAAAAATCGCCCTTGACTTGTAATTAACCTTTTACATTCATTTCTTTCAAAATTAGTCAATTTAAAATTTAAATAATCAAATCTTTCACACTATTATATTGATAATGAAACTTTTACTCTTTTTCAAGGCCTGAAGCAGACGTTTTGGAAATAAAACGACGTTACCAAAATATGTACATTCCTAGCGATTTTTTTTCTACAAATTTAAGATGGGTGGATGCATTCCCACCGCATGTGCCATTCACATTAAATAAGCCATGTTCATTTCACGTAATGCACAAAGATGTCGATTCGTATACTGAAAATAGTGCCGTATTAGAGCCACCCGATTCTGATTATTTATTCTCTGCCAAGGTAAATATTCTCCTTCAATATTTTTCTGCATTTAATTTTCATAATTACAGGCCTCGGATAGTACGACTTTTTTGACGTTTCTTTCAAATATTGCAACAAAATACCACATAATAACAGCATTTTCACAAGAAACGGAAATAAATAAAGAAAGCAAATTTTATCCAAAGTATTAAAAAAATATCAAATTGTTGAAAATCTTAAATAGACTGAATTTCCTTTCTCAAATTAATAAAAAAATCCATAATTAGAGTTACAGTGGCAATTTTCATAAATAATCAATTATTTTATTACTTATTTTTGTATTTAAATAATTGAATTCTCGTACAACTTTTAGATACGAATTGATTTGAAAAAAATTTCAGTTCAAAATTTAGAAAATATTTCAAGAATTGGAAGAATTGCAGTTCTAATTTTAATTAAATTTCAAAAGGTTTAACACTGAAAATATTAAAAAAAATTTAATTCCTGGTGGACAAATAAATAACAATAAGTATAACTAAGTATTCAAATAGTAATGAAATTTGAAAAATTTTATTTAGAAATTTTGAAAAAATGAGGTTTTTAAAAAATCATAATTAAAATTTTTTAAAAATAGTTGAATTCCTGAAAAAAATTTTTAAATATTAAAAACATAGGAAATTTTCTTAAATATCATTTAAATTTTGAATACATTTTTCTTTGAAAATTATTAAAGTTATTAAATTATTAAATTTTGAATAATTTCATTCAAAAACTCTAAAAAAAATAATTGACTTTTAGAAAAATTGCAGTTGTAATGATTAAAAGTATTTAAATTTTGAAAGGTTTTACATTGAAATTTCAATTATTTGAAATTTCAATTAAAATAAATAACAATAAGTTTTTAAATATTTTTTTTAACAAAAATTATTGAAGTTTTGAATAATTTAATTTAGAGATTGTGAAAAAAATAAGTCTTTTGAAAAATTATAATTAAAATTTTTTTGAAGTAATTGAATTTCCCGACAATTATTTAATAAATTGAAACAATAAAAATTTTTGTCTAATTTCATTGAAATAAAATTTATAATTTAAGGAATTTTATCTTTTTGCTTTTCAAAATTGTTTTGAAATATATTTCAGTTAAAAGATTTCAGATTTAATTTCATAAAAGATTTCAGTTTAAAAACCTTTTAAAATTGAATTATTTCTTAAAATTCCTGTTATAATACTTCTGATATTCAATTATTTTTCAAAATTATAACTAAAATTCTTTTTTAAATAAATTGTTTCGAATAATCGTATTTTTGAACAATTATATTTGAAAAATTACATTTTTTAATAATGATTGATCTTTTTCAAATAGTTTATTAAAATTTTTGAAAATTAACTTTTGAAGAATTTGAATTGTAAATTTTGAAAGTAATTAAATTCTCAAGCATGTAAATGAAAAATCTTCAAAAGTAAAGCTTAGCTTCTAAAAATTATATTAAAATATTTTTGAAAAAAATTATTCTTAGAATTATTTTATCACGATTTTTTAACATTCTATTATCTTCGAACAAAGTAAATTGAAATTTTTTAAAATTAACTTTTTTAGACTTCTTAAAATTTCGGAGAAATCATGATCATATTTAAAATTAACATTCTTAAAAAATTTGATTATTTTCTTGAAAATAATTGAATTTTGGAAGGGTTATTAAATAAATTATTAAATTTCAGAAGGTTTTAAATTACAATTTTTTAAATTTTATTTCCTGGGGAATAACAAACAGCAAGTATTTAAATATTTATTTAACAAAAATATTCAAGTTTTAAATAATTGAATTTAGAAATCAGTGAAAGGGGAAAATCAGGGAAATACAAAGTAACATTTTTGTAACAACACTGAATTAAATAAACGATTTTTCCAACTTTTTTTTTCTATTTTTAATCGACTAAAGCCTCTTTTTAGGTCTGCAAATCGGTCCGATGCCTGTAAATAAAAGAATTTGAATCTATTTGAATTTTGAAAATGGAAAAAATAAATAAAATATGTAAAACTTTCCAGGTTATGTTAATATCAATGCCAGCAATGGAGGAAATTTACAAGCGTTGCTGTGGAGTAACGGAAGATAGAGATCCAGATCGCGATTATATTCATCCAACACGACTTATTAATTTTTTGGTTGGTTTACGTGGTAAAAATGAAACAATGGCAATTGGTGGGCCATGGAGTCCCTCTTTAGATGGACCAAATCCTGAGAAAGATCCATCAGTTCTTATTAGAACTGCTATAAGAACCTGCAAAGCACTCACTGGTATTGATCTGTCCAGCTGCACTCAATGGTACGATTCAAAAAATTCTCCTAAAAAAATTCATAATTTAACTCGTTTTCAGTTCTAAAAGACCCACTCGTCAAATTTTAACATTATTTTTCATTTTTTTTTGTCGATTATCAATCATTTTTTCGTTTATATTTATTGTAAAAAAAATCCATGATTTAGAGTCAGATTATTTTAGATAAAAGTAAACTTTTATTTAAAAAATTGCAATATAGGCTTAAATAGTTCGTTTTTATTCAATATCAGATATAACATTATTGAAAGCTTAAAACTAAAAACCCTTTTAGACGAATACAGAGAGGGAAATATTTTTTGAACATTTAAAAGAGCCATCAATGCATTTTCTATTCTGTGCATTTTTCTATTATATTATCAGGGTTGCCACAGGTCAGGGAAATCAGGGATTTTTATTAAAAGTACTGGAAAAACTTAAATGTTTAGAATTTATAAGAAAATCTCCCCTTGGCGTTTTGTTTACAAAACTAGGTGCTGGCTATTGTTTACAACAATTTTGTTTGTTTAACTTTTGGAAATTTATTAGCGATGTATAAACTACAATTCGTAAAAGTCGCATCGTTTTCTTACCCCTCAGATTTTTTTTTATTTCGAATTTACTTAAAAAATTACAAAAATCTCAGAAATTTTGGTGGGTGCTGGCTGTTGTTTATAACAATTTTGTTTGTTTAATTTTTAAAAATTCATCACTGATGTATAAACTACAATTTTCTAAAGTTGCATCGTTTTCTTACCCCTCAGATTTTTTTATTTCAAATTTACTCAAAAAAATCTATGGGTGGGTGCTGACCGCGACTGCTAGCTTCAGCCGGCTAGAAAATTCTGAATTTTTGTGTCTTTTTGTTTGCCTCATAAACTATAAAATTACCAAGAATTCTGATAAAAAACCATCAATTTTTTCTATTTCCGACAATAAATAATTTGTTTTTAAATTTCTTGAAGAACTGCCATAAAGTTATTACTTACAAATCATTTAATGAAGTATTTATTGAATATTTTAATTTCAATTCTGTTGAAATTAGTTTCAACTTTAAAAATTTTAACGAAATTCTTTGAAAGAATTCAACTATCTTAATAAATATTAAAATTCTTTCCAGAAATTCAATTATTTTCAAAAAATTTGAAAAATATTGTCGACCACAATTCAATTATCTTTATAAATGAATAGCAACATTTTTCGACAAAATTCAGTTTTTTTTTAGGAATTTTAATAAAATTCATTGCAAAATTCAATTATTTTCGTAAATAAAAGTATATTCATCACAAGAATTTAATTATTTTTTAAACTAGGTAATAAAATTTAATTATTTTCAAAAATTTTAATAAAATTCATGGCAAAATTTCAATTATTAAACAAAAATTTTGATAATACTTTACACGAACATTCAATTATTTTCAAAAAAAAAAAAATCTCACAGGAATTCAATATTTAAAATAGAATTTGCATAAACTTTTTCAAAAAAATCAAATGTTTTAAAATTTGGCATTAAACTCTTCGCAGCAATTCAATTATTTTCATAAATTATAAAATTCTTTTCAGGGATTTAATTATTTTCATAAATAATAAAATCATTCGGAGGAACTCAATTATTTTCATAAATAATAATATTCATTACAAGAATTCAATTATTTTCAAAAGTACTAATAAAATTCAATTTTTTTCAAAAATTTTTCTTAATTAAATAATTTGTATACCTATATCTATTATTTTAATAAAATTTCCCAAAAAAATTGAATTATTTAAAAACAATTCTGACAAAATTCTACACGAATATTTAATTATTTTCTAAAATAATGAAAATTTCACAGGAATTCAATTATTTAAAATAGTATTTGCATAATTTTTTTTTAAATAGTCAATTGTTTAAAATTTTTTTTATAAAATTCTTCTCAATAATTCAATTATTTTTAATTCAATTTTAATCGAAAAATGTAATTGTTCTTAAAAATTTTATTAAAATTTGCAGAAAAAATTCATTTATTTAAAAAACTGTTGATAAAATTATGTATAAGAATTGAATTTTAAGAAACATTTAATTGTTCAATAAGTTATCTATGTTAGTATTTAAATAATTGAATTCTCGTAGAATCTTCTAATAAAAATTGATTTAATAATATTAATTTTAGTTAAAGTTTTAGATAATATGTAATTAAATTTTGGAGAAGATACTAATAATTGCAATTTTTAGAAATAATTGAATTGTGTAAAGATTTCAAATTAAAGTTTTAGAAAATCTAAATTTTTCATACTTTTAATTAAAAATTCTATGGAACTAATTTTTTTCAAAAAACTTAATCGAAATTTTTTAAAATTATTTGAAGTTTTTATTTTCTAATGTATAATTATTTAAAGAATTTTCGAATAATTGAAATTTCACATAAAATTGAATTGTAAACAAATGGATTTAAAAAATTCTCAAAGAAGAACTTTTTGAAAAATTATTAAAATTGTTGATTTAAGGTAGTTCTCCGGCTGCTACTCTTGAAAAAATTGATTTACGATAGTTTTTCTTCAAATTTTGAAAAAATGTTTCTTCGGGTGCCCTTTAAATGTGGTAAAATTTTCAAAACCCTTTGCGATACTGAATTTTGAGTTATTCAAATTAAAACTTTCACTTTTACATGCGATTAGGTCAAAAATAAAAAATGTCAACCACAATATCTCGTTCTTTGACATGGCAAAAGGGTTTGAAACTTTTACCACATTTAAAGGGCACCCAAAGAAACATTTTCTCAAAATTTGAAGAAAATCTATCGAAAATTTTCACAAGAGTAGCAGCCGGAGAACTTAAAGAAAAATTTTATTTAAAAATTATGGAAAATAATAATTGAATTGAAATGATCAAAATAATTTTGAAGAAGTTTCAGGAATAATATAAAATAATGATTTTATCACTCGGTCATCTTTAATTATTATATTATAAGTAATTGAATTTCAAAAGGTTTGAATTAGAAATTTTGGAAATCTTAGTTTTCATGGAAAAATAATAATGATTAAATATTTATTTTTTGAAAATGAAGTTATTGGTGTTTTTGAATAATTTTACAAAATTTAGGAAATTCGGTTTTTAGAAAATTTTTTTGAGTATCTAATTAATTTTTAAGTGAATCGCAGAATATTCTTTAGGGTGAGGGAAAAAGTCGAAACTTTTTCTGGAAATCAGGAAAAAACAAAATTAAATTTTTGTGGCAACCTTGATTATACAAAATAGGTTTTAATAGAAAAATTTGAATATTTTGATTCTAATTGTGTATTGAAGGTCCTTTTTTATTTATTTTTTTTTTTTAAATAAATTTTTCGTTTTTAAAATATGTTCTGGTATTGAAAGTAGATTATGGAAATGAAAAGAAATGAAAAGAGTTAACGCGATTTCACGGCTGGAACGATTAATTTCAATTGAAAATAGAAACCAACAATCTAACATGAATTTTAAATTGATAGGTTAAGATTATAACTCGAGTTCATTCGCAGGAGGTATGTATATATACAATTGAGTGAAGGGGAAGAACAAGGAATACCAGAACCTGGATTATTGGTATGCTCGAGATGACTAATCGGGCGATATTTTACAGATTTTTTTTCTTTCTCTTTTCTATAATTTAATTTTAAAAATATGTTTCTTTCTTTCAAAAATTTAATGACAATAATAATGATAAAAAAAATTTGTGCGCAGAACGTGGGCTTAAAACGTGGGCAAATGAAAAGAAAAAAATGACGCATTGTTTAGATAATAAGGAAAATGCTAAGCCAGGCAGGCATTTTAACCTCAGTTGACGTTTGGGTATTGTTTTTCCTTGCGGCACAGGTATCGCTTCCTGGAGCTCTACTACAGACGAGCAGAAACGACCCACAAGTCGGGGCGAGTGGTGCCTTCGCGCGTTGAAACCGTCATACTATTTCTCCCAGATGTTTGGCGATGCGTACCAACTAGACTGGAATGGGACGGTCTACATCTCAACTATAAGAAACAACTGGAAAGAAAATTACTCCGTGCCGCCTCTAACCTCGACGATTCGGATGCTGCCAATGATGCTGATGAGGCTGCCGTCGCTGATCAAAAGGCACTGCCCACATCATCCCATATTACTTTTCAATTTTTATTACTATTATTATTATTATTACTATCATCATTAAATCGTGCAGCTGGTTCTCTTTTTCCATTACTAAACTGGTTTTTCAAACGGCAGCCATACTTGACCATTGATCGATTAATGTTGTACAATTTTTCCTCTTTTTTTACTCTTCAAAAACTGAAACTGAAAACTTTTCCAATTCTAAAATTTTAACCTCTATTCTTTTCTTTTAACTGTTCTCCTTTATTCTGTTTTTTCCATCAGGCTTTGCACTCATCTACTAAAACATCACTACTTTTTTTACGATTTGCTACAATTCGGATATTTTTTTTTTTGCCACCAAAACTTATTTTTTTTAAATTTTCACTACTTTAAATCCGCTAACAGTTGAAACAAAAATTCTTTAAATTTTTAAGAAAAAACAATTTAAATTTTTTTGTAAAATTTTTTGAAAAAATTCAATTATTTTCAAAAATTTTTGGAAAATTTTCGCAAGAATTCAATTATTCTTAAAAATAATAAAATTCTTCGATGAAATTTCAAATATATTGAATATCTACTATTTTAAAAAAATGTCTCAAAAGAATTCAATTATTTAAAAAACAAATAAAAATTCACATAATATCATCGAAAAGTCAAAATTTTTACCGGAATTCAATTAATTAAAGTATAATTAGTCAAACAAAATTTTCGAAAGAAATCAATTATTTAAAAGTTTTAATAAAATTCTTCGAATGAATTGAATTGTTTTAAAAAATTTCAATAAAATCCTTCTCAAGAATTCAATTCTTTTTACAAGTAATGAAATTTTTCACAGGAATTCAATTATTTTTATAAACAATAAAATTTTTCTAAGAATTACAATTATTTTTAATACAATTCAATTATTTAAAAAAAATTTAGTAAAATTTCTTGAAAGTTTTCAATTATTTTGAGTACAGTTATAATTAAATTTCTTGATGGAATTTAATTGTTTTTAAAAGTTTTTAATAAAATTCTTTGAAACAATTCAATTATTTAAAACAATTTTATACACAAATTCTTAAAAGTATTGAATTATTTTGAGTACAATTATATGTAACTAAATTTTTTCAAGGAATTTAATTTTATTCATTTTTTTGTAATAAAATTCTTCTCGTGAATTCAATTTTTTTTTACAAATAATAAAGTTTTTTTTACAGAAATTCAGTTTTTTAATAAAATTCGTTGCGAGAATTCAATTATTTTCATAAACAATAAAATTCTTCAGAGAATTTCAATTATTTTTAATGCAATTCAATTATTTAAAAAAAATTTCGTAAAATTTCTTGAAAGTATTAAATTATTTTGAGTACAATTATAACAAAATTTATTGAAGAAATTTAATTATTTTTAAAAGTTTTTAATATAATTCTTCAAAACAATTCAATTCTTTTAAAAAATTTTAATAAAATGCTTCACAAGAATTCAATTCTTTTTATATAAATAATATAATTTTTTACAGAAATTCAATTGTTTAATAAAATTCAATGAAATTCGTTGCAAGAATTCATATTTTATTCATATTTTCATAAATAATAAAATTTCTCAGAGAATTTCAATTATTTTTAATAGAATTTAAAATGAATTCTTGGAAAAATGTATTTAGATTAAAAATATTTATGAAAATTCTTCAAAAGAATTTAATTATTCTCAAAAATTCATTGATAAAAATCTTTGTGAGAGTTTAATTTTGAGAAATAATCAATTATTATACCAATTATTTATTTTTGTATTTAATAAATTGAATTCGAATTGAACTTTTTAATAAGAATTATGATTTAAAAATTAATTTCAGTTAAAATTTTAGATTATGATAATTGAATTTTAAATGTGTTATAATTATGAATTTTTAGAAATAGTTGAATTTCAAAAAGCTTTCACATTAAAAATATTCAAAATTCTCTTTCCTGTGGAAAAATAAATAAATTTTTTTATATATTTATTGAACAAAAATTATTCAAGTATGAACATTTTAATTTCTAGAAATTATGAAAAATTTTAATTAAAATTTTTTGAATATCGTTAAATTTTCATAAAAATTAAAAATATTTTTTTGAAATTTAATTGAAATAAATTTTTATGTTTAAAGAAATTTATCTTCTTACATTTAAAAATAATTTTTAAATATAATTGAATTTTTGATGAATTCTAACAAAAAGTTTGGAAAATAATTGAATTTCATAAAAATTTAGATTTCAAGTTATTACCAGGATAAAAAAAGTGGATATTTTTTATGGAAATCAGGAAAATGTCAGGAAAACACAGAATAAAATTTCTGTTATTTTTCTGAATCAACTAAAACCAGCTTTTTAGTAGTCAAATTTGATTCTTCGATAGCTACTTTTTTTACTACCTTTTTCAGTCTTTTTGCTTTTTTTTTGCTATTTTTTTAAATTATAATTATTGAGTGCGAAGCCTGTTTCCTTCATTCTTTTCTTTTACCAGTGAAAAATGATTTTTTCCAATTACACAAGTTTAATTAATTTAATTAAAAAATTAATTAAGAAGATTAAAGTAATCAAGTCTTTAATTTTAAATTAAAGATCGATGGACAATGTACGGCAAGGTGATCTCTGTACCCATTGGCAGTCTATCTATTTTATTTTTTTTTTATAATTACATTCTTGTGATTTAATAAGCAAAGCGAGGTAAACGTTTGCTCGATGATGAGCGCAGCAGAGCCATTCCCTTCTCCTGAAAAAAACCTCCAACGTTATTTGAAAAATCAATTCAAAATTGCATTTATATTTTTCATTTTTGATTTACATATATAATATATATGCATAAATATTAATTCTTATTATATTCTACATTATTAATTGTAATATAATTGCTTAACCCATTACCTACCTCTACCACACCGACACCAGAGCCAGGACACTAAGAGAGTCTAGCAGTTTCTTGAATCGTACCAAGAAACTCATCATGAATGAAGATAATGTCAAGTTTATAAAATGTTGTGAGAGTGTTTAACTGAAAGAATGAAAAGTGTGTGGTTATCGTTCGGTTCATAGGTTATAGGGGCTGCTTCTGTTTTTTGTAGTTTTTTCTTAAGCTTATTCACTATCGCTAGGCTGACATAATATTTCTTATTTCAGGATGAAAATCTTGCCGAGAAAAAAGATCCAACACATTACTCGGAATTGGATCCTAAATCAATGAATGTAAATCATTTTATTTTTTTCTAATTTTACATGTTGCTTTTATAATCGTATATATATTAATTAATTAATCTTGGAAAATGTTTAATTTCTTTTTTAGGTAAATGAATTACGACAGGAATTGGTTGCCCGTAATCTCAGTTCAAAGGGACTTAAATCACAGCTTGTGGCAAGACTCACGAAGACAATAAAATCGGAACAGGCGAAAGAAGAGGGTCGACAGGATGATATTGAGGAAAATGAAAAGGAAAGTACTCCAACTCCAAAGGAAGATTCAAAAGATGATAAAAAATCGAAAGACAATAAAGAGGTTAAAACTAATGTTTTACGTTTATATATATGTAATTTTTTTATTTAAATTTTGCTAAAAATCCAAAATATTTTCAGCATGATGAGGACAAGAAGAAAATTTACGAACGTGAACGTGCTCAATTGGAAAAAAGATACAATCTTCCTGAATCTTCCCATATTGTCGTTCATCCATCAAAAACGGCAAAAAGCGGAAAATTCGACTGTACAATGATGTCCCTCAGCGTTCTACTCGATTACAGACCAGAAGATACAAAGGTAAATTTCATTTCAATTTTTCCTAATAATAGGCTTCACATTCATCTATTAAAACCAACTATTTACTATTTTTTTACGATCTGCTACTATTTGGATATTTTTTAGATTCGTGACACTAAAAGCTACATTTTTCTTTTTTTTTTCTTTTAATTTACACTACTTTATTCGCTAATAATTAAAATAAAAAAAATTATTCCTCCGAAATTTTAATAAAATTCTTAAAAATGATTAAATTATCTATTTTCAAAAAATTTTCGAAATTCAATAGGTACTTTCAATATCTACTATTTTCATGAAATTTCCCCAAAGAATTCAATCATTTAAAAAAAATTTAATAAAATTCTACGCAAACCATTCAATTATCTACATAAAAATTTCAAAAGGATTCAATTTTTTAAAATAGAATTTGCATAAATTTATTGGAAAAAAATCAATTATTTAAAAAATATTTTAGGAAAATCTTTGCTGTAATTCAATTATTTTCAGAGATAATAAAATTCTTCACTGGAATTCAATCATTTAAAAAGTTTTAATAAAATTTTTCACAAGAATTCAATTATTTTTATAGAAGGGTGGCATGACGAAAGGGGTCAAGCAACAATTTTTCGAAATTGAGATTTTTTCATAAAAAAATCAAGTAAATTCATTTGCACAGTTCTGTAAAAGTATTTTTTTTGTAAATTGTTTTTTAAACTCGTTTTTAATAAAAATAAGAATGAAAAATAGCCTAAATTTTTACTTGCAATGCAATTCGGTTAAAAACAAAAGAAATGAATATTATTATGAATAGGTTAATATGGTTAAAAATATTGCTTTCTTTTTGATATAATTTAATATATATTAAATTTCGCTGAATTTTTTTTTTTGTCTATTTAGAAATAGTTTTATTCTTTACCTAATTTTCAATAATTTAAATATTATTCTTCTGTTAATTTTTAAATATCCCTGTTTGTAGTTTGCTTTTGAAAATTTATGTACTGTTTACTTTCAAAAGTTAACATTTAATTAACAATTTTCTTGAAAACAAACAGTTTTTTTGAAGCAAACTTTTTTGCATTCAATTCGTTAATTCAATATTAAAAAACTAATTTTTCAGTTTTTCTTTAAACTGTATATTTTTTTAACAATTAATTTTATAAGAAAATATGCACATTTGACGTAACCCCAAAATGGTCCACTTTTACTTATTTTTCTCTCTAATATGTAGGTTTATCTTCATAAATTGTATTTCTACTGGTAAAGCGAAATAATATCTCTAAACTGTTTTTTTAGATCTTTCTTTAATGATCAGAAAAATTTTTAAATGTGTTATTTTCGATTCCTGTAAAAACATGAAATTGTTGCTTGACCCCTTTTGTCATGCCACCCTTCTATAAACTTCTCAGGTATTCAATTGAATCGTGAATTTCGAAAAGGGCTCAACTCGGTTTTTTGAAATTTTTCAGGAGACACAAAAAACTGTTTATTTCAAACAGCTTTGATTAAAAGAGCAGCTTTTTTTTAGTAGTAACTAAATGCTATTTTATATGAGAAAATTATAAAAAAAATTGTCCTTAATAACAGTGAGTTGGAGAAAATTGATATTATAGTTGTCAGAGTTGAGCCCTTTTCGAAATTCATGAAAAAAATTTAATTGTTTTAATCATAAAAATATATTAATGAAATGTTTTACTATCGACAAAAACAATCTATTCATTTATTTATTTAATTTTAAAATGTATTAAATTTTTTTTAACTCAAAAGCAATTTAGCATTAGGTTAGAAAACAAACAATCTTAGGTTAAAAGTCAAAGGAAAACACACTTTAATACACTTTTTTCTGCTAAAAGTACCTCAGATGAAATTTTCTTTTTAAGAAAACGTCAATGGATATGTAATAATGTAAAAAAGTGAATTCTTCTCAGAAATTAATTATTTTCTAAAAATTTAAATATAATTCTTAGAAATTATTCAATTATTTAAAAAAATTTGGTAAAATTCAATTCAATCAATTTTTTAAAATAGTATTTACATACATTTTTTGGAAAAAAACCAATTATTTAAAAATATTTTAGCAAATTCTTCGCAGTAATTCAATTTTTTTTCAGAAATAATAAAATTTTTACTGGAATTTAATTATTTAAAAATTTTTAATAAAATTCTTCACAAGAATTCAATTATTTTTGAATAAAATTCTTCTCAGGTATTCGATTATTTTCATAAATAATAAATCACTCATTGCAAAAATTCAATTATTTTCAAAAGTTTTAATAAAATTCTTAGAAACGATTCAATTATTTATTCAAATTCAGTACAATTTTTCTCAGAGATTCAATTATTTTCAAAAATTTTTAGAAATTCAATTATTTTCAATATCTACTATTTTTATAAAATTTCCCAAAAGAATTCAATTATTATTTTGTAAAAATCTTTATTATAATTCTACACAAATATACAATTATTTTCGTAAATAATAAAAGTTTCCCAGGTATTCAATTATTTACAATCGAATTTGCATAAAATTTTTCGAAAAAATCAATTTATTCAACAAATTTTAATAAAATTCTTCGCAGGAATTCAATTAATAGCAGTACCTATAAGAAGAAACGTAAATATTTTCGATGGAAATTAGAAAAAATCAGGGAAATAAAATGCAAAATAAAATTTTTGTGATTTTTCTGAATCATCTAAAACGATTTTTTTAGTCATCAAATTTAATTTTTCAATAACTACTTTTTTCGATCTTAAAGTTACTTTTTTCTATTTTTTAAAAATTAATTACCGAGTGCGAAGCCTGTATGTAATATTAATTTTAGTGACATTTAAAAACAAGTGGCCAAACTTTATAATTCACAGGAACATTCATTCGAGGTTTCTCTTTTCGCTGAACTCTTTAACGAAATGTTAATGCGAGATTTTGGCTTTCGTATTTATCGAGGATTATGCAGTCTCCCTGAGAAACCAAAAGAAAAGGAGGAGGACAAAAAGAAGGATAAAAAGGACGAGAAAAAGAAGGACGATGATAAGAAAAGTAAGAAAGATGAAAGGAAAGACGACAAGAAAAGAGAGGGAAGTAAAGACAAGAAAGATGATAAGGAAGTGAGAAATAAAAATGATGATAAGGAGAAGGAAAAAAATGAAGAGGATGAAGATGACGATGATGAAGATTCAGAGGTACTGCTTTTAACTATTTCCCCCTTTTTTTAAATAAATAAGTAAATAAACATTCTTCTAAATTTTTCCCCAATTACTCTTTTTTCAGGATGATGACTCAAAGGACGGGAAGAAAGACAAGGACAAGGATGGAAAGAAGAAGAAAGTTAAACTCTACACCCATGATCCTTATTTACTTCTGTCGTTTGTTTACTTTGATCAGACTCATTGTGGTTATATTTTCGATAAAGACATCGAGGAACTTATCTACACTCTTGGATTAAATTTATCCAGAGCTCAAGTCAGAAGATTGGTACAGAAAGTTGTTACTAGAGATTCGCTACATTATCGCAAATTAACCGACAAAACTAAAGATGAAGATGCTAAGGATGTCAAGAAAGATGATAAAGATTACGAGAAGCTTGATTCATCCGAGAAAACAGAAGATGAGGAAAAAATTCTACAATCACTCGCAATGGGTAAGTGAACAGAACAGAATGAATAAATAACAACAAGGGAAATTGTTAATTAATTAATAATGTTAATTTAGGAAATAAAAAACTGTTGCCGATATTTTATGGCAATGGACCAGCATCGAAGAGAGCACGACGTGACGATGGCGCTTTGTCTGAGCAGAGTCAAATTGTTCCTGAAGGTTTTGTTATATACAAGGGATCTCTTCTTGATGTTGAAAAACTAGTCAGTCAATTGAAAAGATCTGAGAATGCACGCGTTGACACGGAGACACGTATGGTTGAAATACAACATGAACTCTCTTCTATCAGCGACAAGTGTAATAAACAATCAAATACAATCAAGGATCTCTCCGATGATCTCAGATCTTACAAGGATAAATTGAAAAACACTGATGAAAAACTAAAGAAAGTTATGGTAAAGTATTTTTTTATATTAATTAACAATATTTTAGTATATCGAATAATAATTAAATAGTTTCCAAACTGTTAACAATTATCATTTAGTGTCTTTTTTTATTTTAAATTATAAGAGTGAAGTTCACAACGTTTTTAAAAAAGGAAAATTAAAACAAAAATTTCAAGTTAAGTTCATCTCTAATTTTTATGTTCATAAATTAAAAAAAAATTGTTACTTAAATTGTTAAAAAATAACATTAATCTGATGCTTTATTTTAGCTTCCAATTCATGATTATTTTCCCTGATTTCTAGACAAGATTTTGACTTTTCCCTCACCCTAAAGAATATTCTGATTCACTCTAAAAAAAAGATTAGATACACAAAAGAAATGTTCTAATACATTTATTTGCGAATTTCTTTACATAATTGCAAAAGTATTCGAAAAAATCGATAGTTTTTTAAATAAATATTTAATAACTGTTATTTTTCCATAGGAATTAAGATTTTTTAAAATTTCAAATTCAAAACTTTGAAATTCAATAATTTATAAGATTATAATTGTTACTTTAACTTCTTCAAAATTATTTTCATCATTTCAATTCAATTATTTTTTTCTAGAATTTTTAACTAAAACTCTTCTTTAAATCAATTATTTTAAATAATTTTTGACAAAGTTTCTTGAGAATTTTCAAATCCATTTGCAATTATTTCTAAAAATTCAAGCTATACAATTACGCATTTAATATTTAATTATATTCCAAAATTTTAACTAAAATTAATATTTAAATAAATTTTTATTAGAAAATTTTACTAAATTTAAATAATTGAATTCTTTTGAAGAATCTTAATAAAATTTGTTAGAATAAATACATTTTTCGACGAAATCTATTTAAATTGTATGAAAAATAATAATTCTTCTTGCGAAGAAATTTATAAAAAATTTGTAAATAATTGAATTTGACTTTTAGGACGATATGTAACTGAAAATATTAGGAAATTCTACGAGAATTCAATTATTTAAAAACAAAAATAAATAATTTGTAGAATAAGTGAATGTTTCTTAAAAGTGAATTCATATAAAGAATTTTACCAATAAATTTTTAAATAAATGAATTCTTTTTACGAATTTTAATTAAATTTTTTAGAATAACTGCATTTTTCGAGGAATTTATTTAAACTTGTATGAACAATAATTGAAATTCTGCTACAAGTTTTATTATTTATGAAATTATTTGAATCTCTGAGAAGAATTTCATACAAAATAATTGAATTCTTGTGAAAATTGTTATTAAAATTTTTTTTAAAAATTGAATTCCAATGAAAAAATTTATTATTTATGAAAATAATTGAATGTTTGCGTAGAATTTTATCAAAATTAAAAAAAAATAATTGAATTCTTTGGGCAAATTTTATAAAAATAATAGATATTGAAAATCATTGAATTTCGGCGAAGAATTTTGCTATTTATAAAAATAATTGAATTCTTGGGAAGAATTTCGTTATAACTTTGCAAGTAATTAAATGTATATTAAAAAATTCAAATAATTTCAACAGAATTGAAATTAAAATTGTTCAAAAAAATTAGTTCTACGGAATTGTTTATTAAAAGTATGAAAACTCTAGATTTTCAAAGATTTGAATTTTAAACCTTTTCAAAATTCAATTATTTAAAAAAATTACTAATTATTATTTGTGACTTCTTCAAAATTCAATTATTTTTTAGAGTTTTTATCTAAAATATTTCTATAAATCCATTATTTTTAATAATGAATTAAAATATTAAAAATTTAACTAATTTCAGAAGAACTTGAATTATTAAAATTATTTAAAAAAAAGTTAAGTTCTTTAAATTTTCTAGTTAAATTCATTCAAAATTTTCTAAAAATTCAAATTGAAATTCAAGTAAAATTATTAATTAAATATAATTTCTAAGTAATAATTTTATGACAGTTCTTCAAGAATGAATGAAGTTATTTAAAAAGAAATTATTGTCAGAAATAGAAAAATTTGAAGGTTTTGTATTAGAATTCGTGGTAATTTCATAGTTTATGAGGCAAACAAAAGAGACACAAAAATTCAGAATTTACTTATGAATTCTAAAAATTTAATTATTTTCAGTACTTTTAATAATTCTCTGACTTTTCCCTGACAAATTCTACTTTCCGTGAGTTTTTTTTTTTTTTTTTTTGTTTTTAAAAACATTGCGGACTTTTCTTCCGGCCTCATTTTTTAAATTAATATTTGTGAAACTAATCTAAAATTTTGTCCCTTTCTTTTTGTTTCTTGTAGAATGATTCTCATATGTACCTGTCAACCTTGAAAAATGTATACCATGTCACTTCCAAAGTAGTTCACAGCGACTCAAGAAAAGTCGAAGTCGTTGAGATACAAGATGAAAGATCTGTCGGAGAAATGAATGGATCGCAAAGTGATAGTAAGTCGAAAAGTGACACAAGGTGGAGCGATAGTAAAACTACAATTAAAAAAGAAATTGTCGACAATGATAAATTAAAATCTAATGACAGTAAAGTTATTAAAAAAGAATTGTCCGAAGATAAGGAAAAAAATTAATACAGTCATAATGTACCTAAAATAAATATTTCATTGTTAAGAAAAAAAAATTCACTCCAAATTATTTTCATCAGTCAATTTGAAATTCTTTATTGCAAAATTATTTAAAAGCATCTAAGTAGAATTTGAAATGATTTATTAACTATAAATATAAATACAAATTCTGCAAGTCCTTATAACTAAATTACTCTCCAATTTAGAAAAAAATATTTATAATTTATTATGAGAATTTATACACAAATGTGTGTAAAAAATTATAATAAATCGACAGTGATTTTTTTGTAAAGTGAAAGTTAAATAATTAAAAGGGACAAATTTTATTTGTTCTTACACAGAAAAAAATTGGGAAAAAATCAAAGATTTATTTTAAAAAAATAATAATTATAATTCAACAGCTCATAATAAACTCGTGCTCAGAAATATTAATGTACGGTGTGATATTCTTCAATATTTTATGTAATTCATCTAAAGTAGGTAATTAGGAAAAAAAAATTGTAAAAGAATTTTTATTCCGTCGTACAGAAAATTTTCTGAGAATGTAAAAATAAAACACTTTTTTATAAAAGAAAAAACAACACTGAAATTGTAAGTTTTAATAAAAATAATTAAGTTTTGAGCTGCATAATAAAAATATGTTAATTATTTAAAAATAATTGTTAAGACATTTTCAATTCCTTATTAATAAAACAATTACAAAGAAAGTATCAACTTCTTATTAACAAAATTAAATTAATTAATAAAATTAATTCGGATTTACCAAAATAAAATTTGCAATTTTAGAGGAGATCAGTTTTATTTTGCTGATCGAAATAATAAAAAAACAATATTTACAAACTGTACAAATTAAAGTATTTTGTGTAGCATTAACGTAAAAATGATTTAAGTACGAAAAAATACGCTTGTTTAATTTTATTCGTAGACTATCACTAAGTTCAATGTCAAATGACACTAAGTACAGTTTTTTTCTTTAGCGATGTCAATGAGTTTTTTTTTCTTTGCTTTCTTTTATTACATTCTTCATTTCGCATATATCTTAAAATAATAAAATGAAATTTCTAATTATCACAATCTATGAAATATTCACATTATGTTTGAATATTATATGAAATAAAAATTTTGATTCGTCACATTAAAAATGTTAGGTATACATATAAAATCATTATACATTGTAATTACATATTTTTTGTAGCTCTTTTTGTTTATATTATATTTTTTTAGCGGATTTGTGTCTTTTATCACAAATATTAAAATAAAATAAAGTTTTGTGTGACAATTAAATAATTCTTAATTCTTCTGTGAAATCAAAATTATTTTAGATTTTGAAAATAATTTTCACAATATTTCTCTAAAATGAAGATTTACAAACGAAAAAAATTACAATCGCACGCATTTGAAAAAATTAATACAAAGAAAAACATTTTTTTCTTTCAAAATAATATAAAATAAATATAATTTTTAACTGCAATAAAATGCGAACTTTTAATTTCGTTATTTTTTTATAGCAGGCTTCATACTCAGTAATCAATTTTAAAAATGTAGCTTTCTAGGAATCAAACTTGACGACTAAATAACTCGTTCAAAAATCACAAAAAATCACAAAAATGACGATTTGCAATTTTTGAGGAATTGATTTAAAACTTGTATTAAAAATAATTGAATTTGAGAAAAATTTTATATATAAATAATTGAATTCTTGTGAAGAATTTTATTAAAAACTCTTAAATAATTGAATTCCATTGAAAAATTTTATTATTTCTCAAAATAATTGAATTTTTATGAAGAATTTCATATAAAGATAATTGAATTCTTTCGAAGGATTTTAATAAATCTTTGGAAAATAATTACATTTTACGAGGAATTCATTTAAAAATTGTATTAAAAATAATTGAAATCTTACGAAGAAATTTATTACTTATGAAAATAATTGAATTCTTACAATGAATTTTATTGAGTTTTTTAAAATTATTGAATTGCTGTGAAAAATTTTATTATTTGTAAAAATAATTGAATTCTTGAGAAATATGTTCAAAAATTTTTTTTAAATAATTGAATTGTTTCAAAGAATTTTATAAAAATTTTCTGAATTCTTTGTAAGAAGAATTTTATTAAAATTTTGGAGAATAATTTGTTTATTCTCACTATTAAAATAGTGCAAATTTTCAAAAAATTAAAGAAAAAAATATCTTTTTAGTGTCACAAATTTGATAATCGTAAAAAAGTAGTCAATAATAGGCGAAGCCTGCTGTAGAAAAAATTTTAATAACCCTTTTTGGTTAAAGGGACTTAGAAACCAATCTAAAAATTTGCTATTATTAATTAAACATTATTAACAAATGTTATTAAAGTTACAGAGTCGATATTCAATTTTTTTTTTGTATATTTACAAAGAAAATAAAAAAAAAACGTGTAACTGAAGGCGTTTACAGTCGTAGAAAAAAATGCGCAATTTATTTCTAAATTAGCACCAAGAATATATATGTGTGATCTCAATAAATGCTTAAATAATTTACAAAAATAAACAAAATCTACTGACTTGACTTAAAAACTATTATTACTTTATGTTCCTTTTCTTTTGTCAGTTAGATAAATTGAAAGTACATCTCGAAATTCATCAAGATGCACCTTGAAATACTGAAGAGTACGTATTCAATCGCCAAAACAAAAATTAAGCGACGAATCCATGAAAAAATTCAACTATGATACAAAATGTTTGAAAACAAACCTAATTCTACAAAAATTATTGATGTATTCCCAAAAGAAAATTAGTTTTAAATCGAGCAATCCATAGGAAAGAAATAATTAATATTGCACAAAGATTTTAATCCTGTCTCTTTCTTTTTTCTCAACATTTACATTTTTCCGAATTTTCGATTAATTTTATTTTTTTAAAGCAAAAAATTATATATTTATAAATAATGAATGTATGTACAAAAATTCGATAAAAAGCAAATGTCTCGAATCCAAATAATTTTTTTTAAAAAAATTTATAAATTCTTTTGCAAAAAAAAAACCTAAGAATAATTTATTATCTAGTATCACAACAATAAACAAAAATTCTAGAAAGATCGCTCGATTAATATTTTTCTCATGTCATGAGATAAAATTAATTTAACTAAATGCATCTTCTCCTAAGTACAATTAAAAAAAATCTACTTGACGAAAATGAAGAAATTTTGATACAATATATCCTCTCGGTTTTTCTATTTAAATTCGTTTAACTAAAAATTGTGTTTGCTGCAAATCTGCACATTTATACATATTGATAGAAATGGAAAAAAAAATTTCCACCTATGCATTAAATTACAGAGGAAAAAAATTAATATCCGAATTTTACAATCTCCAGTTCTGAATTTAGGAGTTTGTTTTTGTACAAAAGAAATGTGACTAAATTTTGTTTTTAAATTTTTAAATAACTAAATGTACTTACATTAATTTATTTTCGAAGTAAATGAAATGGAATCTTTTAAATTTGACGGACTGGAATTATAGTTTCCATAATTAACTCCTAAATCCAGAGTGGATAAACGACCCGTTGCGGAAACCGCTCTCGCTACCCTTGGTATTAGGGTTGGTGTTGCTAATCTTCTTGACGTTGGAATGGATGATTTTATGCACGTGGTTTCAATTTTAATGGGAGAATCTTTGACAATATTCTCTGTTACGACGGACTTAATTGAATTTGAATTGTCCTTTAATGATGTTTTCATTGAACCAGAATTATTGTTCGTCGCTGAATATCCAATTGTCCGATTTCCTGCGAATTCCTTCGATGAACGCAACATCCGATAGGAACAAGCAACACTGGGTGACTTTTGTAATTTATTATCATTAATTAATTCGGGAATTAATGATCCATTCTGTGGACTGCCCAAGTCACTCCAACTTAAATAGAAAAATAATATTTAGTAATAACCATTTTATGCAAGGTAATATTTTTTAGAGTTGCCACAGGTCAGGGAATTTTATTTTAAAAGTATTGGAAAAAATTTAATTTTTTCAATTCATAAGAAAATTCTGAATTTTTTGCCTCATAAACTATGAAATTACCACGACTTCTAATACAAAATGATAAATTTTTTTCTATTTCGAACAATAATTTATTCAAAATAATTTAATTCTTAAAGAATTATGTATACAAAAATTATTCCTTATAAATTACTTAATGAATAATTTTACTTAAAAATTTTAAAAATAATTGATTTTTATAAGAGTTGCGTTTACAATTTTCATAAAATTTGAATTAATTTATTTAGAAATTTTAAAGAATTTAGTTTTTTTGTAAAATATTTTTGAAAAGGTTTAAAATTCAAATCTTTGAAAATCTAGAGTTTTTATACTTTTAATAAACAATTCCGTAGAACTAATTTTTTTGAACAATTTTAATTTCAATTCTGTTGAAATTATTTGAATTTTTTAATATACATTTAATTACTTGCAAAGTTATAACGAAATTCTTCCCAAGAATTCAATTATTTTTATAAATAGCAAAATTCTTCGCCGAAATTCAATTATTTTCGAAAATTTTTCGAAATTCAATGATTTTCAATATCTACTATTTTTTTAAAATTTGCCAAAAGAATTCAATTATTTTTTTTTAATTTTGATAAAATTCTACGCAAACATTCAATTATTTTCATAAATAATAAATATTTCATATTCAATTTTTTAAAATATGTAGAATTTGCAGACATTTTTTGGAAAAATTTTTTTTTAAAATTTTTATAAACATTCAATTATTTTCAGAAATAATAAATATTTCATATTCAATTTTTTAAAATATGTAGAATTTGCAGACATTTTTTGGAAAAAATTTTTTTTTAAATTTTTATAAACATTCAATTATTTTCAGAAATAATAAATTTTTTCACTGGAATTCAATTTTTAAAAAAAAATTTTAATAAAAATTTTCACAAGAATTTAATTATTTTTATAAAAAATATTCTTCTCAGGTATTCAGTTATTTTCATAAATAATAAATAACTCATAGCAGAAATTCAATTATTTTCAAAAATTTGAATAAAATTCTTAGAAACGATTCAATTGTTTTCAAAATTCAATTATTTTCAATAACTATACCTACTATTTTAATAAATTTTAGAAATAGAATTCAATTAGTTTCAGAATTAATAATATTTTTACAGGAATTAAGCTATTTAAAATAAAATTTTTATTAAATGTTTTCGAAAAAAATCAGTTATTTAAGAGAATTTTAATAAAATTCTTCGCGGGAATTCAATTATTTTGAAAAATTTTAATGCAATTCTTTTCAGAAATTCAATAATTTTCAAATATTTTAAATATAATTCTTAGAAACGATTCAATTATTTTCAAAAAATTTTCGAAATCAAATACTTGCAATATCTATAATTTTAATAAAATTTATTAATATAATTAAATTATTTTCAGAAATAATACCTAAAATTTTTCATTGAAATTCAATTATTTAAAAATTTTTAATAAAACTCTTCACAAAAATTCAATTACAAAAGATTTTTAAGTTGAAAACTTTGAAAATCTAAATTTTTCATTATTTTAATTATCAATTCTGTAGAACTAATTTTTTTTTAAATTTTAATTTCAATTCTGTTGAAATTAATTGAATTTTTTATTTATTTATTTATTTATTCAAAATGTTAACGGGTAAAACCCTTTCGTATATTTTTAAATATATTTTCAATTACCTATAGGTAATTTTTAATATATTAAAAATAATTGAGTTTGAAAAGAATTTTAGTTAAAAACTCTACAAAAATAATTGAATTTTTGAGAAGTTACAAATAACAGCAATTTATATAAATAATTAAAGTTTGAAAATATTTTAATCTTTAAAAATCTAAATTTTTCATACTTTTGATTAACAATAATCTGTGAAACTAATTTTTTTGAAAAATTTTAATTCAAATTAATTGAAGTTTTTATTTTCTAATATATTTAATTAATTTCTAATATATTTATATATTTAATTAAAGAATTTCAGAATATTCCAAATTTTGATAAATTGAATTGTAAACAAATGAATTTAAAAATTCTCAAAGAGCTTTGTCAAAAATTATTAAAATAAATTGATTGAAAGAAGAATTTTAGTTAAAAATACTAGAAAATAATAATTAAATTGAAATGATGAAAATAATTTTAAAGAAGTTAAAGTAACAATTATATTCTTATAAGTTGTTGAATTTCAAAGAGGTTCAAATTTGAAATTTTTAAAAATCTTGAAAATTTCTGTGGAAAAATAATAATGATTAAATATTTATTTAAAAAAAAAGTTATTGATGTTTTCGAATAATTTTCCAATTAAGGAAATTCGCAAATAAATGTAATAGAACATTTTTCTGAGTGTCTAATCATTTTGAAAGTGAATCAGAATATTCTTTAGGGTCAGGAAAAAAGTCGAAATTTTATCTGGTAATCAGGGAAAAACAAAATTAATTTTTTGTGGCAACCCTGTATTTATCAAATTTTTTTTATATTGTTTTACTTTTCTTTCAGTAGATATTTAATAAGAATTATAAAAAACCTACCCCACATGGCTGAACATCGCAGCATGAAACATTATAATTTATATAAATTTATTACGATGTATATTAATAAAGAAAAAATTTTTTTTAAACATAATCAGACTAATTAGATATTTTACTCAAATAAAATTTTTCTGTTTTTTTTTTAAAAAGGCAGTCAAACAACGATCACAATTCAGTTCACTCAAAATGCGTAAAAACAAGACTTTCATCATCAATGTATTTATCGATTAATGAATGAATTCTACTCATTAAAAAAAGAGAAAAACTAATCAAAACTAAAAACAATTCACAAAACTCAGTGAAATTAAAAATTAAATTAAATTTCATTTGAAATTAAATGAAAAAAATACAATTTTAAAGAATTTCTTTTTTTAACTTAAAAGAAATAAATTCTATTTATTTAAAAATAATTCTAAAATTTATCAGCTAGACTTCATTTTATTATTTTATATTTTTTAATCACTGTACAGTACAATTTTATGTCATGTGAAATATATAATATAAATATATGTATAATTATTATATACAATATAAACTTTTGTAGGAAAAAATTTGTAAACTAAAGTTTTTAAATTGAAAATAAAACCAAAACAAAAAGAAATTGAAAGCAATTGAAGAAAAGATTATACAATAAATAAAAAAATGGTCTAATTCACATGCAAGAGGCTATTGCAAAGCTTTAAGTAATGGAGAAAATATTCGGCAGACGATTCAAATGAATGTAAATGAGAGCATTCAATGTACAAAGAATCAAATATCCCAGTAGCAAATCACACAAACTGACGGACTCTACCTTCCCGATCCTGAAGCTGTTTTTGTGCCACCCGAGAAGAGCCAGAGCAGCGACAAAAATACGTAATTTTTTCATTACATGAGATGAATTTATTTATGAGCTACAAAAAACTAATGTAAAACTCGAAATTTAATTTTTTCTTTTTTTTTACAAAAAAAATCTTCAATTCCATGATAATGAGTTTACTTCTTAACTATCTCTTGAATTGAATTCTCTCTTTCTCAAGAGAGAAAACAATCGAAAGAATAAACATTCTTGATAAAATAGAAGTTTTTTTATTTTAATTTAATTTTAATTTTAATAATGACTTTCATTTGAGTGATACTTAATATGTAAATTGTTACGAACAGTTAAATTAAAATTATATTTCAAATAATGTATTGCTTCGTTTGTAGCTGATATTAATATCAATAAAAATAATTATAGGTACTTTAAATATTATAACTTACCTAACGAGAGGCCCCATGTTTCCATCCTGAGGAAGTGACTGTAATAACGCAGGTCCCGCAGATATTGGGCGTATCTTCAAAAAATAAAAATATTTTATACTTTTTTTTCTTCAATCAAAGTATTTAATTAGACATTTTTTATTTCGAAAATTTCTGAATGTGATTTTCCTTATTTTCTAACATTTTCGTGAAAAATAATTATTACCTTTTCTGTTTGTGTGGTCGCATTACAAGTTTCTTTAGCCTGCCATTGATTTAAAGAAGACTTTACTTGAGGATCCGCACCATTCACACCCTGATGTTTTGTCATTTGCAACTGCAATTATAACCGAATTTTTAGTCAACAATTAAGAAAAGAATTTCATCAAAATTTAGAAAGCAAAATTAAAAACAAAACTGTAGAATAAATTGGAAGTGTAAAACAGAGTCAATAAAAAAAGTAAAATAATAATTCAAAATATAAATTAAAAATTAAATTATTAGGTATATTATAATATAACCAAGATTTTCTGCCTTCACGTGAAGTTAGGGCTTTTTGATTCCAAATTGTTTTACAGATCAAATTGTCATGTCAAAAGTTTGACAATTAATTTATAAATAGACCGATTAGTGTTTTCGTGAAATTAATTCCTCTAGAATTTTTACAATAACATCATATCATTTTCACAGGAGAGTAAAGTAAGCAAATTTTATCCTAATACCTAATAATAGGTATCAATTGAAAATTTTGCAAATCATTGTTTTTTGCGACGAATTTCTTTAAAGATTTTTAAATAATTGTGTTTGTTAATAATTGTAATTAAAAATGTGCTTATTAAATTTTATTAAAATTTTTTTAAAAATAATTGAATTTTTTCCAGCATTTTTTTATTAAAATTTTTTACTTCTTTGGAGAAATTGCAGAAAAAATTGTATTAAACATAATCGAATTCTCGCGTAGGAGTTTATTAAAATTTTTATAAATAATTTACTTCTTTGGAAAAACTTTATTATAATTTTTAAAAATAATAGAATCTTTTCGAGAAATTTTATTAAAATTGTATTGAAAATAATTCAATTCCTGAAGAATTTTATTATTTATAAAAAAAAACGAATTCTTGCAAAGAATTTTATTAAAATTGTATTGAAAATATTTGAATAAATTCTTGCGAAGAATTTAATTAAAATTTTAAAAAATAATTGATTAGTTAATAAGTGAATTTTTTTAAATCTTAAATATTCAATGAATTTTCTGTCTTAAATTCAAAAAAATCCATAAGTAGAGTTACAATTTTTAGAAATAATCAATTATTTTATCACTTATTTTTCTATTTAAATAATTGAATTCTCGTACTTTTTGATAAGAATTGATTTGAAGAAGAATTTCAGTACAAATTTTAGAAAATATTTCAAGAATTGTCAGAATTTCAGTTCTAATTTTAATTAAATTCAGAAGGTTTTACATTGAAAGTATTTTGAAATTTTTAATTCCTGGTGGACAAAAATAAATAACAATAAGAATTAAAATATTTATTAAACAAAAATTAAATTAAAAAATAAGTGAATTTTACAAAAATTTTTGTATTCAAATAATTCAATTATTGTTGAATTCTAATAAGAATTGGTTTAAAAAAATTTCAGCAATTATTTTGAAAAATAATTGAATATTAGAAGCGTTATATCTGAAATCTTAAGGAATAATTAAATTTTAAATGGTTTTGTAAATTGAAATCTTTGAAAATATTAATCGCTCTAAAAGTATAATAATATTTAAACGTTTATTTCAAATAATTATTAATATTTTATTTTTCTTTAAAAATTATTAAAGTTTTGAATAATTTTATTCAAAAATTTTAAAAATTAAATGATGTTTAAAAAAATTACAGTTGTAATTTTTTGAAATTTAATTAAATTTTAGTAGGTTTTCCAATGAAATTATTTGAAATTTCAATTAAAAGAAATAACAATAAGTTTTTAATTATTTAACGAAAATTATTGAAATTTTGAAGAAAATTTAATTTAGAGGTTATGAAAAAAGTTAGTCTCTTACAATATTGCAATTACATAAAAGTTTTACGAAGATAATTGAATTCTCGAAAATAATTTAAAAAATTGAAACAATTAAAAGTTTTGTCAAATTTTATTAAAATAAATTTCTGTTTTTATTAAAAGAATTAAATTTTATTACTTTTAAAAATTGTTATTGAAATATAATCGTATTTTTGAAGAATATTATATTTCGAAAAAATAATATTAAATAGAAATTAAAAAAAAGAAAAAAAGAAATTAATAATTAATATAATTAATAAGAATTATTGAAAATATATAATTTTTTAAAAATATATTCTACCTGTAGCAATTGTATCGTTCGATCTTTATCCTCAACTTGTCCTTGCAAGAATATCACTTGTCTTCTTAAATCAGCAATTTCATCTTTATCTTTAACACTGCTAGAGGAAGTGTTATCATCAGTCGTTCCATCCTCATTCAGGTAGAAGAGACCATTCTGTAATATTGTGAAAATAAGTTAAAAACATAAATTTATACACAATTCTTAAATAACCTTTTAACTGATAAGTAATAATTGCTTTAAAAAAATATTTATTATTTACTTCAAGAATTTACCTTTAATGAATTATCGAATGGGTTGAGAGTTTCAGCCTGTAATAATAAAAATTAAACTGTTAAGTTAAAAAATTTAGAGGCAAAAACAGTAATAATAATCAAATTTAAATAATTAACAGCATATAAATCAAATATAAATAAATAAAGCGTATAAATAATAATTGTGAGAAATAATAAAGAAAATTCAAAAATAATCAAAAATGTATAATAATGTACAATAAATTAAAATAAAGTGCGACCTACCCTCGTCAAACCGTTCTCTCCTGACTTGAAAGGCAAAAACGAAGAGGGACCAAAAATAAGGCAACAACAGAAAAAGCATGTTAATGTGAAAAACGAAACACAAAAATAATGCAAAACAGTTTAATACATGTGTCAGGAATTTCAATACTTATTCATTTTTTTTAAATATCATTTTCCATTTCCACATTAAAACAAAAATTAATTTAAAAACAAAAAATCTTTTTTTGATTTTTTCTTAAGATTTCATGCCTCATGAGATGAGAAACTGATTAAAATTATAAAGCCATTTTACACATATAATATATTTGTAAATTAATTGAAAACCGTGAAAAATGTTCGATTAATTCAAGGTTGCCACAAAAATTTGATTTTGGTTTTTCCTGACTTCTCCCGGATTTTTTACCCTGACAGTAAAGAGAATACTTCTTCACTCTAAAAATTATTACATAGACACACAAATTTTTCTAATAAAATTTATTTATAAATATTTTTAAAAAAATTAAATATTTAATTATTGGAAACTAGATTCGTTTTCTTAAGATAAATATTAAATTATTATTTTTCCATAAAGAACTAAGATTTTCAAAAAATTTCAAATTTCAAATCTTTTGAAATTAAATAATTTATATAAAAATTGCTACAAGAACTTCTCCAAATTATTTTAAAGATTTCAATAATTCAATTATTTTCTAGAATTCTTAACAAAAATTCTTCAGAATTTCTAATTAAAATTATTTGCAATTCAAATTTTATAAAATTTCAAATTGTTTGCTTTTTTTCTTAACTTTAAAAAATTTTTTTTTTAAATGTTTCTATTTTTAAAATTAATGTAGGTAATAAAAATCATTGAATTCTTGCAAAGTATTTATCGAAAAATTTGAAAATAATATTGAATTCATTTCCAGAATTTTATCAACATTTTTTTCAATAATTTAATTCTTTTGAGAAAATGTAATTAAAATTGTGTTGAAAATAATTTAATTCTTGGCAAGATTTCGATTAAAATTCTTTAAAATAATTAAACTGTTTTAAAGAATATATTTCAATTTTCTTAAAGATAATGGAGTTTTTTTAAATAATTTTTACTGAAAATTTTGAAAATATTTGAATTTCATGAAGATTTTCTATTAAGTTTTTAAAATAATCGTGTTTATCATGAATTGTAATTAATAATTTTCCTATTAAATTATATTAAAATTATTCATAGAAAATTAAATTCTTTTAAACAATTTTATTAGAGTTTTGTAAATAATTACATTTTGTAAAGAATTTCATTAAATTTCGTAAAAATATGGTAATTTTTTAAAATAATTTTAATTGAAAATTTTGAAAATAATTTAAATTTACAAAGAATTTGATTACAAACTTTTGAGAAAAATTGAATTTTATAGAAAAATTTAATTTACAATTTTTAAAAATAATTGAAGAATTTTATTATTTACAAAAATAATTTAATTCTTGCCAAGAATTTTATAATTTATACAAATAATTGAATTGTTTCGAAGAATTTTATCAGAAATGTTGAAAATAATTAAATTTTTATTAAAACTCTTGAAAACAATGGAATTTAAATAATGTTTTAAAAAATAATTGAATATATTAGAAGAATTTTATTAAAATTGTATTGAAAATAATTGAATTCTTGTGATGAATATTATTATTTATGAAAATATTTGAATTCCTTTTAAGAATTTTCTTATTTATGAAAATAATATGGAATAATTGAATTCTTGCGGAGGATTTTACATTTCATAAAAATATTTGAATTATTTCGAAGATTTTTATCTGAATTTTTAAAAATAATTGAATTTTTTGAAGGCGATATTATTAAAAATGTTGAAAATAATGAGTTTTTTAAAAGAATTTCATCAAAATTATCGAAAATAATTGAATTTATATTAAAATTCTTGAAAATAATCGAATTTAATTAATCGGTTTAAAAATAATTTTATTCTTTCGAGGAATTTCATTAAAATTGTATTGAAAATAATTGAATTGATCTAAGAGATATTATTATTTATGAGAATAATGAAATTGTTACGAAAAATTTTATTAAAATTTTTGAATAATAATAAACAAGAATTTTTAACATTATGTACTTAATAAGTGAATTCTTTAAATTTTGAATCTGTAATCACTCAAAAATTGATGTTTAATCTTGAAAATATAAAATTTTTAATTTACAAAATAATAATAAATGAAATACCGGGTTCCGCACGCTGGCGCGCGTATCATTTGCTCGTTTATAATAAATGTAAAAACAATTCATCTATAATTTAATTATTTTCGCAATTTTTAAGGAAAATTATTCTTTAAATAATTTGTAAGCTCAATTTCATATTCGTAAAGTTTAATTATTGGCAAAAATATTTTCAAAGGTTGCTGAACACCAAAATCTGGAATTTCCTTTTATGAATTCTAAAAGTTTAATATTTTTCCAGTACTTTTAATAAAATTCTCTGACTTTTTCCTGAACTGTGGCAACCCTGTAATTATATAATTATAATACAGATAGAAAATTATTAAATTTCACTGCATTTTATAAATGATAAGCTGATTTCACAAACCAAATTAAAATGATTATTGAGTAATGGAAAATCCTGAATAAATTGATTACATAAAGAGTGAAACAAACATGAACAATAAAAATGGAAAAAATAACAACATAAAATGATAAAAGTAATATAAATTAAAACAATACGAATAAAATTAACATAAATTAGAATAATATAAATGAAAATAATATAAATAAAAATAATGTAAAAGTAAATTAATATAATAAAAATAATAAATTAAAAAAATTGAGAGACAATTTACCTCCTGAAGAACCCTTTTTAGTTTCAAGAGCATAGTCTTAAGGGAGACAATGTCCTGAAACATATGCTGATAAGTCCCACGTTCCAGTCGAAGGCTTCCTTCATCTCCGGAATCCAAGCCTGGCGATTGGACCTTAAACATGACATTCATTAGATAATAATAATAAAATTGTAGTTTTTAATCTCTAAAACAAATAATAACGAGACTCACATTTCTGGGGGGTCGAAGGGGACTGAATACTTGTCGCGATCTTGTACTATCCAGAGACTTTGGAGAGTCTGCTCCCGATCTGTTTCGCAGCAGTCTCGTCGCTCTGCTATTGGTAATTCTGAAATCAAAAAATTAAATTTCAATACAAGTTTCTTGTCAAATTTAAGTCCGGATTCTATTATAACTTTCGTTACTCATGCTTCTTTTTGTACAATTTGTACAATTTTTTACCTAATAGCATAAATGCAATTGACAAGAACAAAATTTCTTACTACGGCAAAATATTAAAAGCCCGATATTAAATAAAATTCTAAATACAATTACAAACATACATTATTCTTCATTTTGACAAAATAATATTTTTGCTGGTACTTTTCCTTTATAAGCATAAAACTTGCATAACTACACGCTGGCAAACTCTCGTGAAATTTTTTCAAAAATTCTAGATTAAACGCTTTTAATATTTAATTATTTTTCAAAATTGTTGCCGAATTTTTTTTTAAATCATTCTTCTTCGAATTCAACGATAATTAAATTATTGAAATACAACAATTTTTGTAAAGTTTAATTATTTTCCTAATTTTTAGTTACAATTGTTCAAAAAATGCAATAATATTTAAAAATAATTTTTTAGGGTAAGGAAATAAAATTCTTTGAATTCATAAAATTTATTTTAATGAAATTTGAGAAAATATCTTATTTTCTCAATTTTTAAAAATTATTTTCAAAAATTGAACTTCAAAAAATTTTAATTACGATTTTTTAAAATTCTCATTTTTCAGATTTTCTAAATAAAATTGTTCAAATTTCATTAATGTTGTCTAATAAATATTTGAATACTTATTGTAATTTATTTGTGTCTAGCAGGAATTTAAAATTTCAAAATACTTTCAATTTAAAACCTTTTGAAATTTAATTAAAATTAGAACTGCAATTCTGACAATTCTTGAAATATTTTCTAAAATTTGTTCTGAAATTCTTTTTCAAATCAATTCTTATCATAAAGTTGTACGAGAATTCAAATTTAAATACAACAATAAGTAATAAAATAATTGATTACTTCTAAAAATTGTAACTCTACTTATGGATTTTTTTCAATTTTAGAGAGGAAATTCATTTAAGATTTAAAAAATTCATTTATTAACTAATTAATTATTTTTTTAAATTTTAATAAAATTCTTCGCAAGAATTTAATTATTTCTATATAAATAATAATATTCTTCATTGAAAGTAAATTATTTTTTATAAATAATAAACTTCTTGGCAGGAAGTCAATTATTTTCAATACAATTTTAATAAAATTCTTCGCAAAAATTTAATTATTTTCATAAATAATAAAATGTTTCGGAGGAATTCAATTATTTTCAATACAATTTTAATAAAATTGTTTGCAAGAATTCAATTATATTAATTATTTTTTTTATAAATTATAAAATTCTTCGCAGGAATTCAATTATTTTCAACACAATTTTAATACAATTTTTCGAAAGAATTCAATTATTAATTCAAAAGTTTTGATTAAATTTTTATAAGAATTCAATTATATTTAAAACATTTAATAAAATTCTTCATAGAAATTCAATTATTTTAATACAATTTTAATAAAATTTCTCGAAAAGATTAAATTATTTTTAAAAATTATAAAGTTTTTCGAAAGAATTAAATTATTTATAAAAATTTTAATAAAATCCTACGCATGAATTCAATTATGTTTAGTACAATTTTTCTGCAATTTCTCCAAAGAATTAAAAAGTTTTAATAAAATGCTGGGAGAAATTTAATTTTTTTTGAAAAATTTATTATTTTATTAGCAAACACGATTATTTTAAAATCTTTAAAGAAAGTCTTTGCAAAAATCAATGATTTTCAAAATTTTTAATTAATACCGCTATTATTAAAAAAAACTACACTGTTTTAAAAAAATTTAAAGAAATTTTTTAAAAGAATTTAATTATTTTTGAAAACTCAAAATAAAATTCTTAAAAAGAATGAGAATATTTTCATGAATAGTACAATGCTTCGCAGTAATTCATTTATTTTGAATACAATTTTAAACAAATTTCTCGAAAGAATTGAATTATTTAAAAGAATTTTTGATGAATTTAATTAAGAATTTATTTATTTTGAATACAATAATTTAAAAATTTGAAATCTTATGAAAGAAAAATTATCGAAAAAAATTTGTAAACAAATAGCAATCAATAACAACTAACTTCAAACTGCGAATAGTTTACTGAAATAGGTACAACGATTATTATAATAAAATATAGATTTTATGAAATAATATTAAATATTGTACCTATCATTTTCTAATTTGGCCCGTGATGCGGCAATTAATGCCGAAATATTCGAAACTCTTGCTTGTCTTGGGGGTGGAGAACCTCCCGTTGGAGTTGTACATTCAGAAGAAAGACCCGAATCAACACCTTCATCGCGAATTCGAGATTCCGTATGACTATTTTCCACACGCACAACATTTGCCGGACTATTACGAATTCTAACAGGTAAACAAGAACGACGTCTCGCGCCTTTCATTTCCGGAATTAGCGATGCCATATTTTCACGGATATTCTATTTCCTTTAATATTCAATTTTATTTAATGTTTTTCCTTCTCAATAATTTCGGTATACGTCATTTTTTTCACCATTAAAAAAAACTGTCAGAAAATATTATTTCATTCATTTTTCTGAGAGACGATTTTTCTTTTTGTTTCAATATTGATTTGTAGTACGATATTTTTAAATTAGAGGTAAAATTTTTTTATTTTTAAATCTGAGGAATAAAATTTTATATTTAGATTCAAAAAAGTGGAAATTTTTTTTATCCTTTAAAAACGTAAAGTTGGTAAATTATTTTGAATCGTCTTTCGAAACTTGTAGCACTTTTAGATATTTGAAGGTGAGAATCTTTTTGTCAAGCCAAGTGCGAAATTGTATTATTTTTGAATGTTGTTTCGTAAAAAATTTCCTATAAATAACAAAAAAAAAAAATTTGCAAGAATTTAATTTAGATATTAGTCTTAATCTAGGATATAATTTTAATGTATTGAAGAATATTGGAAAAAAATGGTTTCAAGACGTAAATTATTATGAAAATCACCAATTTTGCAACATTTACCAATTGTCTCAGAAAAATGAAGAATTTAAGAATATTAAATTTTCACACAATTTTTTTCAACTTGAAAGAAGAAGAAAAAATGATAGCGCATGACCACGACCTTTAGAGCAAAAGAGGTCTCGTCCTTTTTGGGTCAAAGTGAAATTTTGTCACATTATAAAAACTTCCATTCTCTATGTCACTGTTCACTTTTGACAAAATAGCACAGATCGAAAAAAAGGTTTTCCAAACAATCGTAAATGTTTCCAAAAGAAAAAGAAAATTGCACAAATGATGGATTTGCAAATTTTCAAAATGAACTGCGCTACCAGTGTGTAAGGATGAGAAAATATATTGCAAAAGATGTGCCGAGGAGCGCAAGCGCTATTAAAGCTCGTCGTTGGAACGTTCAATACCACTCAACTTGTGCTCGAAAGGAAAATGCGACGAGATGATGAAGACTTGCCAAAAAGGATAGCAGAGGCACAATATTCACATATTTAGCCAAAAAAAGAATTCTCCCTTCAAAATTCCACTTGAATATTCCACAGCAAAAAAAATGTTCCCCAAAAGATTTCTTTTAATAAACAGGCTTCGCACTCCATAAATAATTTTAAAAAAGAAGCAAAAAGTAGCTAAGACCGAAAAAAGTAGTAAAAAAGTAGCTATCGAAGAATCAAATTTGACGATTAAAAAATCGCTTTAGTTGATTTAGAAAAATCACAAAAATTTTGTTTCTGCATTTTATTAACCTGATTTTTTTCTAATTTTCATCAAAAATATTAATGTTTTTTCTTATAATGATAATAAATTCAATTCTAAATTATTAAAAAATTTAATAATTTTCTAAATTTTAAATTTGTCAGTTTTACAACAATTAAAATTTTCAAACCATTCAATTTAAAAATCTTTTAAAGTTTAATTATTTCTAAAAAATTCATAATATAGCGCTTCTAATATTCAATTATTATCTGAAATTTTAACTGTAATTGAATTTTAATCAACTCTTATTAGAAAGTTCTTCGAGAATTCAATTATTTAAATAATATAAACATAAATAATTTATTGAATAATTGAATGTTTCTTAAAATTGAATTCTCATGAAAAATATCATTAACAAATTTTTAAATATTTGAATTTTTTCGACGAATTTTAATAAAATTTTTAAGAATAATTGCAATTCAAATCTTAAAATTTATGAAAATAATTGAATTTTAGCAAAGAATTGCACTAAATTTTTTTAAAACAATTGAATTCCCGTGAAGAATTTTATTAAAATGTTTGAAAATAATAATTGAATTCCTGCGAAGAATTGCATTACAATTTTTGTAAATAATTGAATTCCCGTAAAGAATTTTATTAAAATTCTTTTAACCTAATTGATTTTTTTTTGAAAATGTAATGAAAATTGTATTTTAAATAATTAAATTATAACTGACTTTCTTCCTAAAAATTTATGCAAATTCTATTTTAAAAAATTGAATTCTTGTAAAATTTTTATTATTTATGAAAATAGTTGATTGTTTTGCGTAGAATTTTATCAAAATTATCAAAATTATTATTTATGATAATAATTGAATTCTAGCGCGAATTTTATTATTTATGGTAATAATTAAATGCATACGAAGAAGTTTATAAAAAATAATTGAATTCTTGCGAAGAATTTTATTAAAATGTTTGAAAATAATTTAATTTCTGGGAAGAATTGCATTAAAATTTTTGTAAATAATTGAATTCCCGTAAAAAATTTTATTAAAATTCTTTTAAATAATTGATTTTTTCGAAAAAATATAATGAAAATTCTACCTATTTTAAATAATTATTGTAAAAATTGTATTATTTATGAAGATGATTAAATTCTATTGGGAAATTTTATTAAAATAGTAGATATTGAAAATTGAGGGTCCCTATCAAAGAACCGGTTATAATTTTTTTAAGCTCGAAATCATTGCCCTGTAAATCAAAAATTAAACTGTTTTTAATCCCAATTTTTTGAGAAACATTTTGGTATTCTTTATACT